GCTGGATATTTTATAGAACCTTTGGATGCTCCCTTTTCCCCCACTGGTCCTGTTTTGATCCCCACTACCAGGCCATGCCTTCTCACTACTTTTCCTTGCAATGACCTCTGGGGATAAGCAGTGACCATCTCATTTTCTTTGTTAACCTATGTCCCCCTAACTCTTCCTCAAATAGTCTGCCTCACATAAATGAACCAAAAGGAAACCACCTTACATCATTATAAAAACTGCTGGTTTTGTTTGTGATATGTATGGGTGTTTTGCCTTCATGTATGTCTGTGTACTTGCCTGCCTCTGCCTGTGCATCAGAGGCCAAGGATTCACCGGAATTGGAATTACAGATGGTTAGCTGTCACATAGATGCTAGGAATCAAACCTGAACCCTCTGACTAGTGTCCTTATCCACTGAGCCATCTCTCCAGCTCCTGCTCTTAGGTTTTGGCTAGCTAGCCCTGGCCAATATGCAGATGAAGGAATACTTGAAACGGGGTGACTTAGGACAAGGATACTCTGGAAATTTAAACACACATTGTGCTTCTAAAACTCAGCATTAAAAAAAGATCCAGTATTACAGTTTTTATATTCACTACCTGCTGAAATCATTGGCATACTAATTTTACCTATTTCTTTTTACTTTTTCATGTGGCTCATAGAAAGTTTTTAATTACATATGTTTTTCTTACCTTGAATGTTAAACAAATGTCTTTGCAATGGGCCTGGATCACTTATGAAATGAAAGGCTGGTGAAGTGCTAACTACAAAGGCAGTTTCCATGATCTGCTAACAGAGTTCTAGGGAAGGATAATCATTTTTGGCAGGACTCCCAGCAATCATTCACAGCAGGCAAAGGGGGAAAAAAAAAATCTAACCATCCCTGACCTCAATTGATTCCACTGTGCTCAGAGCTGGAGTTTGTTGGTTGTCATTCTTACAGTTTCAAGTATTCCATTTTTGTTGCTCTGATAAAATAGGATGACCAAGGCAACTAAAGAGCTTTTTTTGGCTTATGACTCCAAAGGAATAAATAAGAGTTCATGATTGCAGAGTGGAAGCAAGGAATATTAGAGCAGTAAGCAGAGAGCTCACGTCTATAAATTGCAAACACAAACCAGAGAGAAATGAATATGATATAGAATCCCACCTTCAGTGACATAATTCCTTCAGCATGGCAGTACCTCCTAAGCTTCCCCAAACAGCACCAACCAGGGACCAAGAGTTTAAACGTCTTATCCTATGGGGGCCCTCTTCATTCAAACCATATTGCTCTAACAAATTACGAGTATAGTATACTGGACAATACTTTATCTCAATTCTGTAAAGCACAAGTCTGGTAGCTCTCTTCCTTTCTCTGCTGCAAACCAGTCTACAGTCACTAGGGGAATTCTTGCAGGCTTCTTTAAGTTGCTGGAAGAATTGCCTTATGCATCACATTATAGATCTAAGTTTTTTTTCTTTTGAGTTTGAAAGCTAAGAGGCCTCCCTCAATCCTGGCTATATACCTTGGAGCTTAGAATCTGACTACCTCTTTTCCCACAAGCCAGGAAACATCTTCTGCTTTAAGGATTCATGCAACTAGACTGGGTCTACAGAAGAAATTCAGGATAATTTTTCTCTTTAGGTCCACTAAACTGTATCTGCAAAGCCTCTTTCCAGCAGTATCTATATCAGTGTTAGAATCATTAGGGATCGGGATCTTGGTACATTTTCAGAATCCTGTCCACTGTTCTTCCTACATAGGAAACATTCCCTTTTTTGAGATACTCTCACTATTTAGCTCTGGCTGGCCTGGAACTCACTATGTAGATCAGGGTAGCAATAGAGATCTGCTTACCTTTGCCTCCAGGATAATGCTAGGGTGAAAGGCCTGTGACATCACATCTGGACAAAAGAATGGAGCAGAATAGGAAAGTGTTTGCTGCTAAGAAGAAATTAAGGATTTTCATTTCAATGGAAAAACCATTGAAGGGTTTCCTTATAGGGGACACAAACTAATTTATATTTTAAAATGAAGTAAGGAAAGCCTTCTTACAATGTCTTTCATTTGCTTGGAGGAATAAACGGATGTTAACTGTAAGGTGAACATGATCTCTTCTGTGAGCCCATGTGTGCTAGTGAAAGGATGTTGAAAAAAAGAATTCTCCTTCATAGACTGTATGGAGTATGTCCTTGAAAACTGAGTTAAGCAATCAAGTTACAATGTAAAAACAGAACTCGTAAATACCCCGAAACTCACCGCTTCATCAAATAAGGTATAAGGTGGCAGCATGAACTCTCTTTTCAGGTCACAAGGCTTACAAAAGCCAGACCACTGTAAATCACTCTGATGTGGGGAGCTCCTAGTGTATCCTAATGGAACATGAACTCTGCAGGACCCGTCTCTGCAATTCCTTTATGAAAGACTGTTGGCCCACAGCCTGCTCTGCTGCCTGAGCAACAGTTGAGGGTTGGGCCCTACGAAGACCAATCTCAGTGAGCCTTTCCACAGGTAGCCTACAAGTATAGCCTGCGAACTCCAATAATCCAATACAGAAACACCTAGAATGTGCATTTGGAAAAACCAATCTTTCTTCCCTTTTTTAGTATTACAATGAACTGATACTCTTCTTTCCATCCTGTGGACTGCTGATCCACAATTTCCTCTACTGTACAGAAGCTTTTATTTCATTTAATCCCATATATTTTTAGTCTTATTTCCTGTGCTACTGGAAATCTCATTCAGAAAATTCTTAACTGTGCTTATAAATTGAAGCACATGCCTCTTTTTTTCTAGCAGTTTTGGGGTATCAGTCCTTACGTTGGCCTTGATTTATAATTTTGTACAGACTGAGAGAAATGCATCTTCTATATGTGGGTATCAGTTTTTCTCATATCAGTTGTTAAAGATACTGATTTTTCTCCAATGTGTACTTTGACATCTTTGAATATTTCTCTCAGACACAAACTAAACTAAGCTCCACAGATAGGAATGCCCTCTGGTTGGAAATTAGAGTCAGTATTAACAGGGTCAGTTTTAACAGGTGGTATTGATGGGGAAGGACGAAATAAAAAAATGAAAAAATTAAAACTTACAGAGTTAAATGCTATCATCCAGGTGGTGCATACCTTTAATCCCCACACTGGGGAGGCAGACCTCTGAGTTCGAGGCCAGCCTGGTCTATACAGCAAGTTACAGGATAACCAAGGTAGGAAACCCTGTCTCAAAAAACCTAAAACAAAGGAAGACATCAAAACAATGAACAGTTGGTAATAGTCTATGACATCATGGTAATTTTTAAGATCCAAGAGTGATCTCTAAAGAGAATAAATTCCAGATTAAAAAGCAAAACTTGTATTTAAGTCCTTCGTATTAATACCTAAAGATCCAAGGTTCCAGTGTCTATTTTATAAACTCATCATAAAGAGCTAAGTTATCTTTCACTATAACCAATTTCAATAGAAGCTTCAGGAAAGAAAGATTTATTTTGGTTCTGTTCAAGATGATATGGCAGCAGAACCTGTGGCAGGGGAGTCTTCACAGAAAGAAAGCAGAAAGAAACCAAGAACATAGGACAAGAGTTAGCCCCTAAGGATATAACCCCAATGACCTACTTATAACTTTATCTCTTAAAAGTTTCTAGAACCTGCCTATGATTGAACATATGAGACTGCAAGAGACATTTTATACTCAAATCCTGACAAAAATAAAAGTAATGGATATTTAGGACACTTTACAATGTTAGAGCTGAAGAAACGGCTCAGTTGAAACGGCTGAAGAGAACAGCCTGCTCTGGGAGAAGACCCTGGTTTGATTCCCAGCACTCACATGACAGCTCATAATTGTCTTTAACTCCAGTCCCTAGGGATATGGCTTCTGCGGTCACAACATGCAAATGGTGCACCAACATACATCCAGGCAAAATACCCATATACATAAAATAAAAATAAAGGTTAAGGGCTGGAGAGAGGGCTCAGAAGTTAAAGCAATGTCCTTCCAGAGGTCCTGAGTTCAATTCCCAGCAACCACATGGTGGCTCACAACCTTCTATAATGTGATCTGGTGCCCTCTTCTAGCATACAGGCCTACACGCAAATAGAGCACTCATATACATAATAAATAAATCTTAAAAAAAAGAAAAATAAAAAATAAAGGTTAAAAAATTTGCCAGGTAGTGGTGACCTACATCTTTAACCCCCGCACTCAGGAGGCAAAGGCAGGCAGATCTCTGAGTTCTAGGACAGCCAGAGCTACACAGAGAATCCATCTCCTGTCTCTACGAACAAGCAAAAAGCAAACAAACACAAAAAACAGTAGCTTAAGTTCCAATGTGACAATTTTACATTTCAAAGGAGAAAACTAAAATTTGCAAAGCTTTTAAAAGCAACAATGTATAAATAAAAGGTAAATTAAAAATAACAGTATATACTGTACCAAAGCACAAACTTTAAAAAAAAAAAAAAATCTAGACATGTGTAAATAAAATTTACTGACTTTTTTTTTTTTTTTGCCTGCATGTATACATGTGTGTTGCCTGGATGATGCTGAAGTCAAAAGTGGGCACTGGATCCCCAGAAATTGAAGTCATACATGGTTGTGAGCCACCATGAAGTACAAACTTTCTAAACTCACTCATTAAAAGTGTTTCAAATTCCATTTCAAGTTGCCGTGTTCAGACACAAAAAAATATGAACTCCTGTGTTAATTAATTATAGCCCATCTATACCATGGACTCCTAAACAACAATATGTAACAGAAGATTCCTGTCAACATTTATGATAGCATGCAAAATGATGATATACTTTAAAGAAAGGAAGTGGCTAACAGGGCATGGTGGTGCAGGCCTGAAATTGCTAGTTGGGAGAATGACGCAGGGAGATTATTTCATGCCAACATGGCTGCATACCACTTGAAGAGGAAAAACAAACAAGTAGACTACAAAAGGAAATACATACTAAAGTCATAGCACTGTATAAAACAAAATTATAGCAAAATAACCTATCCCCATTAAAGTGGTAATAAACTAACAATTTTTATTCTCTTTGCTTCTAAGTTTCTACAGTGAACATGTTTTACAAAACGATACAATAATTTAAAAACATTTAGTTTTGAAAGAGGGTGAAATAATAGGTTTTCAAGTATTACCAGATAAAATATTAATGGAAAACATTCTAGACCCGTTGGAGGAAAAAAACAAAAAAACATACTTACTGTCTTTTGTTTGGGCAGGGTACAACTGTGACAGCAGATTACATCTTGCTATTTCTAATGTTTTTATCAGTTAATTTTGATAGGGGGAAAAAAAAAACACAAAACAAGTCACAAACCAGCATAGGTTAATGTAGTTTAGTTTTGTTGCTTTCACTCTAGCCTTTGGTAAGATTTTAACTCTTTCTAGGCCAAGATAGCAATGCTGTTTCAAATGTAAGCCATACTATACTGACAAAGCCTATTATTGCCATACTAAAATTCTAATATCAATTCACTTAGAACACAAAACAATTCTATTTAAATGACATGAGCTTATACATAACACAGTAACTGGAAGGCAAATACAACATACTAATATATCAATCAGTAGGCAAGCTGTTATTCTGAGGCATAGAATTCAGGATATACTCCAAAACAATACAAGTAGCACACCCAAGCTTCCTATGCTAAAGTTAAAAAAACTACTACTACATGACAGCTTCTCCCTTCAATTGCTGTGTTCACTTTCCACAACCAAATGTTTCATTCCACTTTTCATAAAGTTCTAAATCTTTTGGAGATACAGTGGGTCGCACAGTTCTAAAAGCATTTTCAAAATCAATATAGGTTATTGGTCGAACTTCATCTGGGCTTATGGTAGCAATGTCAGCAGTGTGCAAACTGCGGATAGGACCAAGAGAAGCCTCTCTGCAAAGCTGTGTCATATCTGCTCCAGAAAACCCATCAGACTGCTGCACCACCAGTTCAGTTTCTTCATCACTGAGGCAACACTGTTCCTTAGACATGAGATTAACAATTATCTGTTTCCTGGCTGAAGCTTCTGGGAGGGGAATATAAAGCCTTTTCACCAATCTTCTCCGGGCAGCCTCATCAATCTCTTGGGGCCGATTTGTGGCTCCCACCACAAGAATACGGTCTTCAGAAGATGTGGTTGCTCCATCTAACTGAACTAAAAATTCCGTTTTTATCCTTCTTGAAGATTCATGTTCACCATCTCCTCGTTGAGACAATAAAGAATCAATTTCATCAATAAATATCACAGCTGGCTGCTGACACCTTGCAACAGCAAACAATGCACGGACCATTTTTTCCCCCTCACCTACCCACTTAGAAGTCAAAGACGAAGCAGAGATGCTGAAGAACGTTGCTCCAGACTGACTAGCAATGCACTTGCCAATAAGAGTTTTACCAGTCCCTGGAGGGCCAAAAAGCAGAATTCCTTTAGGGGGTCCTCGTAATCCAGTAAAGATATCTGGCCTCAGCATGGGCCACACAACAATTTCCTTTATTGTGGCTTTGGCAAATTCTACTCCGGCAATGTCTTCCCAGTGTACTGGAGGCCCATGGTCCATAATTTCATTCATAATAAGTTCAACCATCCTTGGCTCTACGTTCTTCAGACAGTCATCAAAGAGGTGTGTTGGTTCTGTAGAATCTGCCCTAGTAGACTTCTGCTTCATCCTTCCACTCTGCTCACTTCCATCTTCCTTATTAGATACAGGAGAAACAAACTTTCCAAATATTCCTCTTGATCTCCCAGCTCCCAGGGACTTTTTCACAATAGATGAAGATCTGGATGTATGCTGGGATTGGTGGCACTTTTTCTTTTTATCTACCCATAATTGTTCTTTTGCAGTTTTAAAGGCAGGTAGGCTATTATCTTCCCTCTGGCCACTGTCTTCAGTCTTACTAAAAGCCTTATTCAGTGTTGAATTGGAAAGCATGTCAATGGTGCCAGGATCATAAAAAGCCTTCCTTTCTCGTGAATTTTCACAGCCAGAAGGGAAACAAGACACATTAGATAAGAACATATTTAGTCCTGTGCTGGTTTTAGGAGAGCTGTGAGTTTCCTTTTTGGTATTTCCAAATAATGGTGTAGTGTGAAATGTTGTAGTGGCTGACTCACCTATTGGTGCTGAGGAGGTGGGACACGTCTGAAATGGGGAATGTCTCCGACTGCTCTCTGGGATAGCTTGGGTCTTATCTGTGTCAGGCTCTCCAGAACTTACACACACACTAGGTTCAGAAAGCTCAAAGACAGTAGGTTCTTTATAGATGACTACTGATGCATCAGCAGGTTCCAAGAGAGACTCTTTCCATTTCTTGCCAGCTTGTATCATCCCCTGTACATTACTCATTTCGAAAACATTATTTATTGACAATCCAGATTGCCACTTGTCACTGTCAGCCTGTTGAGATCCTGCCAAAGGAAAAATGCTCGCTGCGTAGTTATTCAAGCCAGTTTCCACATTGTCAGAATCAATAATTGTAGAATATTTTTCTGTGTACCTTTTGAACAGCTTGGTAGCACAGACCTGAGAGATCTCAGAGTTGGCACATGCATATTGAATACTGAGTAAAAGTGCACGATATGCATCTGCCTTCTGTCTTGGTGTACATGTGCGGGATGTAACTACGAAGTAATTCTTCTGCCATTCATCCACATGCACAGACCTAGAGTTGGAAGTCTCCATGTCAAAAGTCCTATAACACAAAAGCAAAATTGAAAACAAATCAATATCAAGAAGAAAACAAAAGCAGAAAACTCTGCTGGAAAAAAAAAAACATACTAGATTTATAAGGTTAGTTTATAAAAAACAAGAGTACTTATTTGAAAAAGAAACATCTAGTTTATCATGTATTTCAGGTACTCATGACACAAGATACACTGATAGTCTCAAGCTTAAGGACAACCAAATGATTTCTTAGATGTTAAACTGTTTTATTTATGAAGTGATTTTCCTAAAGAGGGAATATTCATGGGTTTAAACAGAAAGGATTTAAAGGTAACCAAAGAAAGGACTTGGGAAATGTGATTCACTTGGAGGAACACTTACTAACATGTCTGAATCCTTGCATTTGATCCTCAGTCCTCAGCACGCATACACTGGATACAACAATGCATACCTAGCACTTGGGTGGTGGATCCAGCAAGAGAAGTCCAAGGTCACCACCCTCAGCTACATGGTAAGTTTAAAGCCAATCTGGGATACATAAGACTCTGTCCCAAAAGCTTTTGTAACCAACTTAAAGAAAGGAAGAATTTATTAAGTGATGAGTGACAGAAAAAGACATCCAATATCAACATGTGTCTTCCATACATTTATATGTACACATACAAAAATATGTACAAAAAGACTTAAATTAATCAATGGTTCAATATCCTACTCTTGTGAGATAGGTTATTCACAAAATCAACAAAGAAACTTCAGACTTAACCTACACCACAGATGAAGTAGACTCAACAGATATTTACAGCCTGCTGCCCCAAACAGAAAGAAAAAAGAAAAAAAAAATCTTCTCAGCAGCCAATGCAATCTCCTTTAAAATATATCACATTCTTGGGCCATTTATCAATTCTTACTAAATACAAATGAATCCAAATATTGAGGCTGAGGAGATGGTTCTTCAAGCACTATCCACTTTGGTCTTTTGAAACAGAGCCTCTCATTGAATGGGAGGTACAAGCGGCCATTGGCTGAGTGGACAGTAAGCTCTAAGGACCAGTCTGTCTCTGCCTGCCCAGCATGATTATAAGTACCTGTCACCATGCCCAGCTTTCTTACACAGGCTCTGGGGATCAAAGTTGGATTTTCACTTGTAGAGCAAGCACTTTACTGACACTGAGCTATTAGCCCAGACCAGAGTTATAAGAGTCTATGAAAATTTGAAGCAAGCTAGAAGATGGTGCAACAGTTAAGAGCACTTGCTGCTTTTGTACAGGATAGGACAGCCATGTTCACAGCCACCTGCCACTCCAGCTTCAGAGGATCTGACACCCTCTTGTGGTCACTTCACATGCACAATGCGCCCCTTCTGAATATATAAAGAACCCCTCAATATCCCAATCAAAAAAATATGCTAATGAACTGAACAGACAGTTCTCAAAAGAAATACAGCAAATAAATATTTGCACAAGTGTTCAACATAGTCATCAGGGAAATACAAATTAAAACTGTCTTGAGATTCTATCTCCCATTTAGAACCGTTATCATCAACAAAACAAATGACAACAAATGCTGTCAAGGATACAGGGAAAGAGAAATCCTTATTCCCTGGTGGTAAGAATGCTAATTTGTATAGCCACTATAAAAATCAACATTGTATTTTTAGGTATATACTCTAAGAATTCTAATTCTAACCCTAAACCCTAACCCTAAAACACAAGAGAGATGCTAGTACATACACATTCATAGCTACACTACTTACAGCAGCCAGGAAACTGAACAGCTTAGATGTCCATCAAAAAAGATGAGTGGACGTTTAATGGAGTTCTATGAACACAATGGAATTCTATGTAGCCATAAAGGAAAATGAAATCCTGCTGCCCTTTGCAGGAAGGTGATACAACTGAAAATCACATGCTATGCAAAATAAACCAGACTTGGAAAGACAAATACCTTCTTCTCTCTCACATGCAAAATCCAGATTTAGAATGTGTATGTTGTGTATGCATTTACATGTGTTTGTAGGTCAGAACTACAAGAGGATCATGAGAGGAGGTTGTGATCTTCAGGCAGTGGGAAATAGAACATGTAGCAGGAAAGTAGAAGGGATCTGAGAAGGAGGGAACCAGGGGAAAAGGTGGGTGGGGGAGGAGGCAGCACTGATGGAACAAATCAGAACAAAGTATGAAGATGCCATGATGACGCTTAAATCTTAAGCCTACTTTCTAAGAAAACCTAGCTAAGACTAAGCAAGCCATTTACAATTTTTGGATGTTCAGATTTCTCTGTAGGAACCATCGTGAGAATCAAATCAGGTAAATATGAAATATTAAAGACTGTTACCCTGCTTTGTAGAAATTGAGCTGAGAGTTAAAAACTGACTTACTGGAGAAAACTCTGCTGATTATGAGCAATACCAGAGGTCAGTTCCAAGCTCCACGTGAGGCACTGTGTTCTTTACCAGGTAATGACTACCTCTTGAAGCTATCAGCACAGATTGAGCTGCACAGAACATAAATATGAATGGTGGCATGTTTAGTATTAATGATATATCATGAATAAACACTTCAAACTTGATGCCACAAATATTCCAAATTTCCCCCATTTCTCAGTGTTAAAAATTAAAGCCTATGAAAGATGAGCTGTAAGAACAAGCCAAATAGTTGACCAATAAACGACTTTTACTTCAGATTTTTCTGAAGATATTCTCATAAGCCCCTTCATATTTTTATACAAGAATCTTAGAAAAATATACAATTGGGCCAGAGAGACAGTTTAACACAAGAAGGCACCAGCACTCAAGCTTGCCAAACTAAATTCTCAAGACCTACATGGTTCCTGAAAGTAGTTCCCTGCCATCCATATGCACAGCTTGGCACACTCACTACTATATTTTCGCAATATAAAATTTGCCTGTATATTAACAAGAAAAAAGTTTTAAGAAATCCTATTGGTTTCCTAAATATTATGATAAAGTAAAAAGAATGTCTACAGTTTAAATTTAATTCCAACAAATGTTTAATTATCTGGAAGTATAGCTTAATAACCAATACATTTATATATGTGAGCTATATTTAATATGGCTTTTTGTTGTTGTTGCTGTTGGTTTTTTGAGACACGGTTACTTTGTGTTACCCTGGCTTTCCTTGAATTAATTCTGTAAACCAAGCTGTACTCAAACTCAGAGGTTCACCTGTCTCTGCCTCTAGCGATGCATGAACACCGCCAGGCTTAATACAGCTTTTTAATTCTGAAAATGCTGTGGAAAGAATTTACCATATTATAGGTAGGTGTTCATAAGTTTTGCTTATAATAATAGGAACACCTAGTAAAACTTTAACTTAAATCTAAACTACATCAACAGTTAAGAGGCAAGTAGCCCTGCGTTCATCTACTTTAACCTTATTTTAATCTCCATTCTACACCAGAAATGAGGTGACTTGGAAAATACCAACCACAAAGGTTCACAATGATAATCTTCTTTACAGCTTCATTTCAGTCTATCAACTAAAATCACCATTTCGAGTCACTGTAAAAAGAAAAAAAAATGTCCTCTTCCATCTCCCAATTTTACTTCCTTTCTGCTCAGTCATATGCTACAACTACACATAACCAAAAACTGTCACCATTGCTCAATGACATTGGTACAGACCTATCTGCCACTATCAAGTCATTTCAACCTTTGCTCAATAAAATCTAAATTATGGCTAATGAGTACTGACATCAGAGTTACAGTTCAATCTTCTTTGTTAATTTTCTGATTAAGAATGTTATTGGCCATTCAAACTAGACAGCCAGTTTTTGCATTGCATTTGGATTTTCTTCAGTATCTGAACTATGGTATCCATTAAAATGATTAAAAACTGGAGTGCCTACTATATACCAGACATCATTTTCAATCTTTACAGAACTCTAATTTACTACTAGCAAAGTAGCACAGGAATTTCACAGGATCTGAAGCCATAAGACCCATCTTCAGATGCTAGACATCAAAGTTTTATTGCTTTTAATTAGTTTTATCTATTGGGGAAAGGTGCAGGTTTAGGTCTGAGAGCAACCTGCAGGAACTGGGTTTTCTCTTTTCACCACCCTGTACCCAGGGATCCTAGACACCCAGACCTCAGGCCCAACAGCTTTTACCAGCTAAGCCATTTCCCAGGCCCCGAGCTCTGGATGCATGATCTATTCTTTCAGCAGTAACTCTGAGTACATCTCTTAAGCTGTGTCTGTTTTCACCTGCCAAAAAAAAGAGCAGTATGTAACATTATTTAGCTGACAGGTTTTTTTAATTACTGAGAGCATCAGAATCCCCAGAACTTAAAAATATCATATAAGAGATTGTGAATTATTATTTCTTTCCTTTGGATAGTCCCTTCCGGCCATACCTAATCACAACTAAAAAGTATCCCTATCCCAAACGCTTGGGGTCAGAAGTATGTCTGATTTCCAGATGTTAACACATATACCAGGTAGGGGACTCCATTCTAAACACGACTCGCGTATACTTAACAGAAGGTTAACTGTATATAATATTTTTCTAAGCAGGAATGAAAAAAATAAAAAGGTTTCATGATGAGGAAATTCCTCCCTTGTGATGTACTGTTGGGCCTCGTGAACGTCAGATGTTGGCGCATTTCGGATTTTCAGGTTAGAGTAATTCACCTGTGTTCGTACTGCCGAAACCACAGTGCTCAGAAAGAGTAAATTTAGGTGGCAAACCTGCTCCCGCCTTCTTTACAGTCCTAGCGGGAGGTAGCTGCAGCTGACCTGACCCCAAATCGTCACGCCCAACGTCCCTCAAACCCAGCCGCCGCTGACAGCGACAGCCTCGCCCCGGGGCTTCCCAGGGCCACCCTCTCCGACAACCTGAGTCGAAAAACAAGAAGAAAAAAAAAAAAACGAAAAAACGGCCGGCGTGGCGAGCACAACCTCAGCCCGCCGCCCAAGCGAAGACCAGCCGCCCACCGGCGCCCACCTGCGTTCCCTGTCCGGCCAGCGGCCACCGAAAAGCGCGCCCTTGGGAGTGCGCCTGCGCGGTATGACGCGCTCGGCCCGCGCCGCGCATGCGTGTAAGGGCAAGGGCCGAGGAGCGCGCGCGGCACGCAGCGTCGGGGCGGGGATTCGGAAGGCCTGGGGGTCGCCGCCTAGGCCCTGACGCGGGAATTTGGACTTCCCGCCGGCGGCACTGTGCGAGGGCGACCCCCTCCCGCGCTGTGGCGATGGTTTCACCTAAGCACTCCATGGCTTCCGATCTACTTCAGGCTTAGTTTGTTCTTTTTTTGCCGAGCTAGGTGCTGCGAAATAGAGAGAGGCGGTGGGAGAGAGGAAAGGAAACTCGCAGGATTGCGGAGAGCAGGACTCTCATGGAAGGCAAACATGACCCGGGACGGCTTTCGGCCGCCACTCCTGAGCCTGCCCACACATGTGCTCTCCAGCCCTAACCAGTTCATCAGCAGCTATCAAATAGGAATAAGTCTCGAATTCAGGAAGATTTGCTAAGGGCCACAGCCAGCCTTAGGCGTCATAGCAAGATTATTAAAGCAGTAGCTATCAGGGATCCATTAAGAACTAAAAAAAGCTTATTTTTGTTACTAATCCGTATGTAGCTAAACAGATACAAGCTTGGGAGTCACCGACGGACCTTCCCCCTCATAAACAGTTTTGGGCCCCACCTCCCATCTGCCTATTACCCGCTAAGACTTCTTGCAATTTAGGGAGAGAGGTCACTAAGGGTTAGGTTCTTAATTGTTTGTATAGGGCATAACAAGCCACTGGGTCAGGCTCCAAGCAGGCGGGAGCTGATTGTCAGAGAGTAGGGGGGGGGGAACTTTGCTTTTTTTTTTTTTTTTTTTTTTTTGGTTTCTTTGTCTGCAACCCTCATTGCTAAGACTGCCTGTTTCCACTGGGAAAACTTACTTTTCTTTCCTTCATTCTGTCTCCTTCAGACACTGACCAGAAATCTTAACCCTGCTTGCCCTAAGGTTCTGGGCATTTTCACTCAGTCTGAAGACCCTCCTTACCCCATGCAGCCATTCACAGGACTGCATTGTTGAGCCTGCCTGCTTTTCTGACCTTTAACTCCAAAAGCAAGGCCCTCTCTTCTCCTCCTCTCCTCCATTCCCCTCCTCCCAGATGCTGCTGAGATGTCGCTTGTCTTCTTTTTCCCCTAAACTCAAAATTGCCTTTCAGTTTCCTACTGGGTCTGATTTTTTAAATTCTTGTATCTGCCAGGAACCCTGCAAAAGGCAACATGATTCCCTGGCGTCTGAAAATTGCTTTTGTTAGAATTACAACCCAGTATATAGTGTGGAAGAGTTTAGGGCTCAGGCAATGCAAGTTGTAAACTTGCTGACTGACAACACAAACTGCTTGGTAGACTCTTTTTCTCGTGGGTGGAAGGTGTTGGAACTGCAAAGAAGAAACTGCCACCGAAACAGACAGAACCAGTATCCTTGGTGGAAGGGCTCTTCTTGTTTATGATTCTGTGAGTTTATAAACATAAGCTCAAACAATGCCTGTCTACAGTTCAGTTGGCTAATTTGTTTTGAGCAGAAAAGTAAAATGATCCCAAATAATATGCATCTTTTGCCAGGAAAAATATGTTTAGGGGCTAGCAAGATGTCTCAGGTAAAGGTGCTTACTGTGCAAGCCTGGGACCTTAGTTTGATTTCTAGAACCCAGGAAAAAGTGAAAGGACTCCACACAGTTGTCTTTTTGGCACGTGTGTCTTTTCCACCCATCATACACAAACACACAATAATAAGTATTTTTAAAATATGTTTTATTTTTAGGCAGTGTGAGAAGTAGATTGTTTTAGAGCTAAAGGGGCAGAGGATGGGACGAAGTTAAATGTGGCTCTTTGATATTCCCTGAGTAGGTTGGATTTCTGCTGAGTGTCACATGTGTCCACTTCCAATCTGCCTTGGTGAAAGAGGCCCCATGAAGATTGGAGATGTATGCAGGCATTCCTTGGATGTACAGCTTATAGCAGTCTAACATGAACACACATTTAGAAAGTTCTAATTAAAAAAAATCATTAAACAGTCTGACAAAGTTCTAATCAGCTTTTATATTCATGAATGGGGAAATCTCCACTCTATAAAATAGAATGGGAGCTGTACTGGGCAGAAGCAGAAAAGTATGCTTTGTAAAGCAGGGAGCTGAGACTATTGGAAAGGAGCTGACAGGTTGCTATTGGCTTACTTCAGGTCACTTTTCTTGTGAGATTAGAGCAGAGGGACTTAAGCTAAGGTAGTTTGTGCTCTGGCTGCTGTGAATTTGCTGTGTTTAGGAAAAAACAGTCTATTTGTGGATCCTTCTGCTTCCAGTTTGAGCTGGCTGTGGGGGCATACCATAATTCTTGCTGTGACTATTTACTGCATGCCTGCTTTTGGAAACCACACCAGTTTCTTTAAAATGGTCTTTCCAAATATTACCAGTTTATGCAAGCAATTTAATCTATTATTTTCCCCATTACTTTATACCACAGTATGTTATGGCACACATTGAGAGGTACTCAGGAAACAGATTTTGATACCAAGATAGTAAAACTATTAATATTTGGAAATTTATATAATTTATTTTTAAAAAAACAATAAATAATAAAGCAATCCTTAGGCCAAAATGCTATCAGGTAAGCACCATGTTTCCTTGGTAGACTTTCTGAGTAGAATATCAGTAAGACCATTTTCCAGTATACGGTCAACTGGATTTCCTAGTTAAGAGTTCAGTCCTGCCTTCCTTTGGGGTCTTGTTCTGTATCCCTTTTTCTTGTTGCCCTCAAGATGATGAGCTGCCAGCTAGTGACATCTCCCTGTCCTATCTTGGGCTTTTCTGTATGCTGTCTGCTATGTGTTCGGCCTGACTTGGGTCTCTGGTTCCTGGAAGGCTGCTCTTTGCTACATTCTTGACAAGAGATGTTCCAGGATAAGTTTTGTGTTGGCTTTCTGTTGTGTCCAGATAAGTCTAGGGCTTTTCTCAACACTAAGAAGAAGTGCCTCTGATCAGCAAAAACATGAGGTCATACAGGCAGCATCTAGTGCCAGTGCCACCAGAGGTCAGTGTGCTCTATCTACTATGATACAGATCTACATTGGGCACAGATTTAAATAAAGGTGCTACTCGTGGCCCACGGAATAGTCCTAATCCAGGCATTCCTAATTCTTTTTTGTCTGTTTTTGATTTTTCAAAAACAGTTTCTCTGTGTAGCCCCAACTGTCCTGGAACTTGCTTTGTAGACCAGCGTGGCCTTGAACTGAGAGATCCACTTGGGATTAAAAGTGTGTGCCACCATGTCTGGCTTTGACATACTGAATTCTATGTTGATAGCATATAGTTGAGATCAGAGGCAAGGTTTACCCAGGCAGATAAAAATGGGGCTTGTCCCGAAAGCACCAAATGTCCTCACTGCCACCTAACCTTAAAAAACTTTCTCCTAATTTGCTTACTGTTGTGATAATTACCATAATCAGAAGCAACGTGGGGAGGAAAGAGTTTTTTCATCTTACAGCAGTCTACCATCACGGAAAGTTTAGTCAGGAACTCAAAGCAAGAAAATGGAGGCAGGAAGTGAAGCAGAGGGATGGAGGAACACTGCTCACTGGCTTACTTTCGTGTCTTACTCAGGTTTGGTTTTGTTTTGTTTTGTTTATACAACTAGGGCCACCTGTACCATCGTGATCCCACCCAGCTGCCTGGACCCTCTTACATCTATCATTAATTTAGAATATGAAGCACACACTTGCATACAGGCAATCTGAGGGAGGCATTTTCTCAATTGAGGTTTCCTCCTCCCAGAGGACTCTCTTTTATGACAGCTTGACAACAAACTAACCAGCACAAGGTTGGTCCTGGGGAGTCCATGGCACAAGTGACCACACAGTTTACTAGGAGAGAAGGTGGGCTCTAGAGCCCAACTACCTGGACAGCATGCCTAGCTCAGGTACCAGTTATCTCTGCGATACTGACATGTGTCAGCAAATCTCCCGGTGCCTCAGTCTTTGCATCTATAAAAGGGAGGCAGTAATGCAGCTTATCTCATGGAATTGTAAAATGAGTATTAAGTTGGTATTTTTAAATATGGATAACAGCACCTGGCATCGAGTAAGTGCTGGCGTATGATGTAGTTAACTGGGAGGAAGTGCTTCTTCCTGTTTCTAGGGCTGAGGGTTTTGGTGTCTGAGCACCATGTTGAAGAAAGGCCAGTAGATGGGTGTGCTGGTATCAACTTGACACAGGCAAGATTGGGAAGAGGAAACCTCAACTGAAAAAATGCTCTCACCAGATTGACCTGTGGGACATTTTCTTGATTGAAGATTGCTATGGGAAGATCAAGGTCACTGCCAGCAGTGCCACCCCTAGGCTAGTGGGCCTCATTACTGTAGGAGAGCAAACAGAGCAAAGCAGTAAGCAATATTTCTCCATGCTGTCTTTATCAGTCCCTGCCTTGAGTTTCTTTCAGTGACAGGCTGTGACATGGAAGTGCGAGCCAACTCAGCTCCTTTCCTCATTAACTTGCTTTGGTCATGCTGTTTTATCATAGCGGTAGAAACTCCAGTAAGACAGTGGGTAAGCTAAAAATGAGCCATGGTAGACAAGATTGTACCCTTTCTGTGTCTGAACGTAAAGCTGAGGTCTTAGACACTATTCCCTAAGGATTCAGTTTTAGAAAGAAATACTCCAGCCTTTCATATAGCTCCCGCCTCCCATTCATGCAACATGTCCTATGCCACAAGCCACCGACCCCCTTGCCTCATGCTCGGGTCCCAACCGTTACTGCCAGAATTATTTTAAAGATCATGCTACATGGAAGTCTTTGTGCAGAAAAAGAGGGCGACCATATCATCAGCAGTAGTTTGTCGTCTCCAAGCCTTTCGGCATTCACAAGGGCACACTGAGGAGTGAAAACAATCATTGTAAAATGCAGGCACATCAACCTCAATTCAGTAATTTGAATGTTTCATACCCTAGGGGTCCTATCACAAATCGTTTTGGTGGCCTCAGTATACTTTCCCTTGCTTCCACATCAGGACAAATGACAAATCTGTTTCATTTATGAACAAATGTCCTGACCAAGTCAGACGGAGAATATTCATATGTGCCAATATTCCCAAAGAACAGATCACATCATTACATTTGCACAAAGGTCAGAGGCATCTGAAATTCAAAATATACCTGCTGTCTTACTTTGTCATGTTGCTGTGATAAAATAACCTGACAGAGGCAACCTACGGGAAAACAGGTGTGTTTGGCATCACAGTTAGAGGATATCGTTCATCATGGAAGAGCAACCCAGGATAAAGGAGCCGACCATGTAACAATCACCGTCTGGAATGTGGTGCTCAGCTAGCGTTCTCCTTTTTTGTGCAGTCTAGGATCCTTTGGTGGTGGGTCTCACCACCTCAAGCAACACAATCAAAATAATCCCTCAGGGGAGTGGCTGTAAGCAACCTTATGTAGAACTTCCCTGCAAGACATACACAGAGGCATGCCTCCTAGATGATTCCAGATCCTGTCAAGTGGATAGTCAGTGTAAATTGCCACATCTCTAATAACATAAGGACCCCATCTTAATGCCACTGACATTTTTAAAGTCTCTGAAGGACAGTAATTAATCTTAAAGTAAAAACACGCATATTGGTTCTGAGGAGAAGGCTAAGTAGCTATGAGTGCATACTGCCCTTGCTGGGGTTTGATGGTTCACGCCTTTAATCCCAGCACTCAGGAGGCAGAGGCAGGCAGATCTCTGTGAGTGTGAGGTCAGCCTGGTCTACAAACAGAGTCCAGGTCAGCCAGGGATCTGTTACACAAAGAAACCCTGTCTTGAATTTAAAAAAAAAAAAAAATCTGAGTTTGAGCTGTAGCACCCACAATTAGGTGGGCTACAACTACGTATAACTCTAGCTCTAGGGTATTTGATGCTCTCTCCCGGCCACTTTGTGCACTACACACACACACACACACACACACACACACACACACACACACACTGAAAAATCAATCTAAAAAATTTTTTTCTCTAAAATCAGAATGATATCATATAATAATGAGATTATTTGAGTACATACCTAAAAGCTGAACTCATGAAATCTAAGCAGAACTTGAGTGTTGTTAATGCATCTGAACAATGATTGACATACACCAAGCTTTCATTATACACATGATGACTAAATGTTTGAAAGGGTTAGTCAAGTTCACAAGAATGAGTATGATACATTGTAAAACAAGATGCTCACTCAATACAGTTAATATTGCACACTGATTGTTTATTAAGCATTTAGCCACACAGAAGACAACCATAGATACAATCTGAAGTTAAGACCAAAGATTGCCCTGGATAATATTTCTATAAGCCTGTCCTGCCACCAATGGCTTTATAAGCACAAAGACATTTTATTAACAAAAATCACAGCCACATAAAGAACAAAAGCTAGAGCCACTGACATTAGCTTTCCACACAAAAAATATTTCTCCCTCGATAATACAGAAAATACTTCTTCATTGATAAGTCACCCAAAAGTCAATCATAGGTTTCTGATTAAGTTTGGAGACACACACAAGGCCACATAGAAGCATGATTTCATGAACACAAGGTGGTGGTTATTTTTGTCTCATTCCAGTTTTCGGTGTACTTCTTTTTAACTTTTAATCTCTATAGGGAGAAAAAAAAATAGCATGAACTTAGGGGCTAAGTTAGAAAATAAAGAGGGCTGGCATTGTAGCTCATCTACGTAGAAGGCCCCAGACCCTTGTTCCATTCCCAGCACCACAGAAATGAAAATAAAATAATAAAAAATAAGAATTTTGTGTAGTCCTAAATTGACTGCAGAGAAGGAATATGCTGTTTCTGCAGTGAAACGATACAATAAGTAGTTTCAGCTGAAGAGTTCATGTTGCCAATCTGACATCTCTAATGATAAATTTTATCACTGTAGCTGTGCTGTCTGCAAAGCTCTCCTCTGTGTAAGACGCCTGGAAGCCTGCCCTTCCTTACCATCACAGTTTTGTTCTTGCCTGATAGTCACATGACAGTCTCATTTATTGTTTTAATGTACCTAAATCTTATTCTGATAGTTGCTTTGGTCCGTACTGTTTGGGGAAATCTGAAAAGTATAGAGCAAGATCTACACATTATTAATGTTTATTCCCACAGAAATTACTACAAATTTGTCTGTGGAATCACTACACATAGTATTCTTTGTGCTTCTCCTGACTGAATATGCTTCAGTTTTCCACTTTACAGTGGAGCCCAGCCCCATAGCACTGAGTGGCCACGCTGGGATTGAGCTGGAATCCTGACACGCGGGGGAAGACAGGATGTTCCTGGCACAGCTTACCTGAAGCAGCTCTGCTTTCACTCCTTCTCCGCTTTTAGCACACCACTTGCCAACTCTCTGATGTGCTCCCAGGCCAGCTGCACGTGGGCAGAGTCCACAGTGCGAGCACACACAGCAAAGCGCAGCACAAACTTGTCTCGGAGACAACAGGGAACCAAGTGGATTTTTTTGGCACTGTTTATTCTTTGTAAGAGGGTTTCATTCAGCTGGTTGGAGCCCTTGGAGGGATTAAAAAGAATATCCACCATATAACACAAAGTCTGGTAACACCCAGAGATGGTAAACAACTTTATGTTAGAAAGTTTGATGAAATAACTAACAAGGCTTAAAAAATGTATAAGATCACTTCTCCCTGTGATAGCACTTCTTCACCATCTGTATTATCAGAAGTTGACCTTCCTATCCTCCAAGTTTATTTAAGAAAGATGATGCCTCCAGGGAGGCACTGTCAACAAATAGATGAGTATGGACAATGTGACAGGGTCTCTGGGACAGTAGAACAGCTTTAGAAACATTAGAGCGCACAGGAGGTCTCAACAACAGAGACAGTGGAACAACACAGTGAAGCTGTTGTGAGAATCTGGAAAGGACTTTTGTAAGTGCAGGAACATGGTTGATCTCTGTACAGGCTCTCTAAAAAAGAGAATAGTCAACTAATTGGGGACAGAGAGGCCAGTGCGCTCCACTCCCAGGGACTGACCAGAGATAAGAGGGCCTTATCAAGCAACACACAGAAGCCTACACTTTCCAGCTGGGCCCCAAATACACAGGCTGGTAGCTGTTCTCTGCTTATTCCCTCACTCCTCTGTATAAACTGTCATGAAGTGGCTTCCCATCTTCTAAGACTATCAGTCAAGCAAAACATAGAAGGGGGCTGGTTTCAGGCATCACTCCCTAGTCATAAGACCATTTAAAGAGGTAGGAGGATGCATGGGAAGGGAAATGGCCCCTCTGCCTAGACCATGGCAGCTGAATACCTGCTGGATACTGAGGCCTGCGCTTAGCCTGGGACAGATACACATGGCTCTGAGTGTGACACCTAAGAAAATCTTAAATACACATACAGTGAAGGAACTACAGGATGGTGTAAATGCCATGTTTGGAAGACGGAGACATGAGATACAGTACTAAGAGGATGAACTTTATTTAAAAAACAAACAAACAAAGACTCAGTATGAGAGGACACATTTGAAATTCAGATAACACAAAAAACAAAACTTAGGGAAAAGTCGTGTACCATTTTTGATTGATTTGGGTTAGAAAGGATCTCCGTGAACTAGAACCAGAAAGCAAACAGAAATTATCAGAGATGCAGTAATGAAAAAGGCAAACGTAAGACAGGTAAGAGTAAAGGAGTCTGGCCAGGGAGAAGGAGAAAGGAGCAACTATGCCATTGTAATGTGCCACACTTTACGTCCAATAAAAGGCCACAGGACCAGAAACAGCACTTAGTAGTAGAGCAGTTGCCTCGCACCTGTGACACCCTGGTTTTAATCCCCAGTGCCACAAAAACAAATTTTGTATAGGGGATGCTACTTGAAGCCAGCAGAGTGGTGAACACCTGTGACCTCACCTCCTGAGAGATGAAGATGAGAAAATCCTTTCAAGAGTCTTAGGTTATATACCCAGCTTGAGGGTAGCCTGGGCTACATGAACAGCCACAACATCTGCTTGTTGAAGCCGTCAAGGGTGGAAAAGATTGAAAAGTGAGGTTGGAGAAGACAAGGAGGACAAGGGGGGGAATCACACTGTATAGTTATACAGGCAAAAAAATCAAGCACTAGTGTTTGACCATGTGCTTCCTTAAGATAAAAGGCATAAATGTGGGAAGGAGAGAACAAAGGTTCACAGAAGAAAAGGCTTCTTAGCTGAAGAGTACAGAGGGTTCTGTGTGTGAGGGCTGTGCACACTACCAGGCATGTGAGAAGGAGCAGAAACTGAGGCAAAGTATATATGGTATAATCTTAAATTATACAAAGCCACCAATAGTCTAAGCCTTGACAACATTGTGTCAAGAGTAAAGCAGACAACCATAAAAGGCAAGAGGTCTTTGAAGAAGACAAACATGTCCCAAAATTATATTATGGGTAATGGCCTCATCGCCCTATAGCTATAGCAAAAAACACTCAAATGGACAAGCCAACGGCCAAAATGAATTACATCTCAATAAAACTATCAAAATTTTTTAAAAAAGCAAAACTGAAAATATCCCACAGCAACATCCTACAACAATGAAAACAAATACCTACTAGGGGACAGAGAAGTCAACACAATGCCAACAGCATTGTTGGTAGACCTAGCACATTCCATGGTCCACAGACCAAACTCCAGAGACATGTATGCATGAGGCATCCAACACAGGCTACACGTGGCCCCACTTATTTGGTTATTCTACATATCTCCCCCAGACACTACATTTTATGCTTGCAGAAAGCATGGGGCTCCTCTATGGCTTTTGGGTCAGTGCTTGCTGTTCCTAGAATTTCCCATGCTCAAAGCTGTAAGGATCTAAGAGAAGGAGATGAGAGGTGGAGGTGTAGCACCATGAAAATGACGTACCCCAGGTTGCTCCTTCTCATGATTGCTGTCTAGGCTTGGACAAGGAGGCCTCCTGGCAACACCTTTAGAACTGATTCAGAAACTTCCAGTCAAATGTAATGACATACATCTGCAGACCCAGCTACTTGGGAGGACTGCAAGTTTCAGGTCAGCCTGGGTAACATCTTAATGCCCTTGTCTCTTATTTTTTAAAAGGGGAGAAAAGAAAAAGGAGGCAGGGTCTGGGGTCTGGGGATAGTGTTGATTTTGTCCAGCATGTGTGAAGCTCTGGGTTCCATCCCAGTACTGTAAAAAAAGGAGAAGAGGAAGGCGAGGAGGAAGAAAACAAAACATAAAACTGTTGGCCTATTAAAAGCCATCTTCGAAATGGCCAGAGCATCTGGTTTCATTTATAAGGCAGTGATGAGCAGGGGCCTTTTGAGTAACATGGTTGTGTAAGTCTCTGCAAAGATAGCTTACTCCCTTGCCGATCTGGGCAGGCTTCCCTCACAAAGCGAGCCCAGAGCCCAGGTGCCCCCTCTAGTGCAGGAATCTTGCCGAGGTATATATAGCCAGATGACCGGCACAGTGGGGTTTATTTATCTAACCAGTTCCCAGATGTGCTGATGCTGTGTGTCCACAGGTGACCTGGTTACTGAGGCCACCGACAACTCAGCAGAGGATTACAGTTCCAGGGGTATTGGATGGACTCTTGGCCTTGGGTCAAGAGGAAAGCATCCAATCATATCTGAGGAAACTGGGCAGCAAGTCCATGGAGGAGAGTCTACTGGGCCAGTCAGCCAGCCAGCACCGCCTCCTAAGCACCACAGGTCATGTTCTGTAGCCCTTGGCAACTGGTATACAACTTTGTATGTGGATGACATGAATAATACCTTATCTCATTCAAGGAAAACAAAGATGGCTGAAATTGGCATTACATACCTTTAGCCGGAAGCAGACCAACCCAAGAATGACTTCCGTGCAGATCTCAAAGCGAGGGTCCTGGCGTACCAGAGACTCAAACTCATGGGACAGCTTCACATGCTGGGGAAACGGAAGGGAGACTTGCTATCTTTTTCATCACAACTTAAGTCTAACCCGGCCACCCTGCACCATTGCACATCTATTATCCACTCACATGCTCTGAGCAGTGTCTGTCTCCTCACCAGCATTTCCCACACTGGAGGAGGAAACTCATCTGCCCTATGCCACATGGATTCCAGTTTAAAAAAAGAAAGAAAGAAAAGAGCCAGGCATTGTGGTACACACCTTTGCTCCCAGCACGTGGGAGGCAGAGGCAGGCAGTGCTTTATGAATTCAAACCCAGCCTAGTCTACAAAGCAAATGCAGGACAGTCAAGACTATTACACAGAGAAACCCTGTCTCAAAAAACAAAAACAAACAAAGAAAAAAGAACATTCATTTTTCCTCTGTCCATGTAGCAATGTTTTAACCCTTCTTTCTCTTATAATTTTATAACAAACATTGTAAAGAAGTAGTCGAAGATTCTAGAAGAAAGAAAAGTTACCTTGACCTCCTCGGAATAGCTTAAAGTATTGTGATCCGGCTTTACTAATTTGCAGATAGGAAACTGAGGCTCAGGGAAGACAAGTGTCCATCCCAAGGCCTTATGCTCGTTTCCTGGCTCAGCTGCCTAACACAAGAGCGTCACTTCTGCAGTAGGTAGGGGCAGTGGTCCCAGCCTGACTCCAACTGATAAATTGGAGTCATCTCTGCCTGCCACGTTCGTGCCCTCTGGTGTTATGTTGCACGCCTTTAATCCCAGCACCTGGGAGACTGAGGCAAGCAGACCTCTGTGAGTCTGAGGCCAATCTGAGCTACATACTGAGCCCCAGGTGAACCAAGGCTACATAGTGAGACCCTAATCTCCAAAATAATAAAATTATTTAAAAAGAAAGAAAGAAAGCTATGTGATCGCATTGAACACATTATTTAATCTCTAGATGTTTATAGAATTCAAAAGCTGATTAAAACCACATATGATCTGTGGAGTACACACTCGGTCACTGTCCAAGCACACACTTAGCTAATTGAAACCTCCTGGCACCCAGCACTCGCTGCCACAGGGTCCATGCTTAAGAGGGGCCTACACAAAGCTTGCTGGGAAACGCCACTGAAGCAATTGTCTTTCCCTGGTCATCCCACCAGAGGGCACCAAAGACTCAGGACTAAAGTGATCGTCGATTAGCTCAAACCTAGGAACAACAGCAGCTTTGACCATTCCTACAGTCTCCTGTTAAGAAAGGATTGGGGCCTTTCCAGAAAGATCTGTGCTGTGTCTTTAACCTTCCATAGCCTAATCACAGAGAGCTGTCCTGAACTGAAAGTCGCCATCAACTCTGACTGATAAATCACTCCGACTTTCTTTCTTATTACACCAAGTTGACTCACCCTCCTTAACCCTTTTGCAATTGGATCAGGGACTATCTTAGAAATCTACACACACTCTCAGTTTCTAGGTCTTTCCTTTGTGTAGCTTCCCACAACGCCTGATGTTCACATAAGTTTCCTTACAGCAGTTCTGTGACCTGGACAGATGCCAGTTTGTAGCATGTGACAGGTCCTCTGCAAACAAATGTCTTACTCTGCATCTTTGTCCTAGAAGGGCGGCCCGAGCCTTTCAGCCCCTGCCTTTGGCTGCACATCTGGTGATGCAGCGGGTACCAGGACTTAAGGGGAAAGCTGTCGCCACCACAGGCTGGAAACCACAGGCTTGCTTGCCTCATCAAGATGGTGCTGTGGCTTAGAAAGGACTCAGCTGAAGTCAGTGGGCTCTGCATCTGACTAAACGAGTAGACAAGTCCTGGCTCATATTCAGGCCTCAGCTTCCCCAGCTGTTTAAAAAAAAAAAAAGTAGGGTAGTAGGGCTTGGAGCTGATCGGTGCTTCCTCAAAGTAGTTGAATGCGTATCACAGTGATCTACATAGCCTTTTCTTTCTTTCTTTCTTTCTTCCTTTTTTTTTTTTTCTTTTCTTTTGAGACAGGGTTTCTCTGTGTAGCCTTGGCTGTCCTGGACTTGATTTGTGGACCAGGCTGGCCTCAAAATCACAGCACTCTGCCTGCCTCTGCCTCCCTGAGTGCTGGGGGACTACAGGCATGTGCCACAGCGCCGGGCTCACTTCTGAGATTTTTACTCCGATAAACAAAGAAGGTGGTCACCTTGCGGATGTAAGCCTGCAGTCCCTTGACTCCGTACATTCTAAAAACAAACCACATTTTCAAAGAGCGAAACCTCCGCCCTAGTGGGATCTGCCAGTGCTGAAACAAAATATAAAGAACGCGTCAGTGAGAAGCATGTTAACAACCAGGCTCCTTTTCAACTTCTCAGTTGGACAGTTTCTTCTGGGAACAGCCAGTTTCCTATAGAATGCCCACTTCCCAGCCCAAATGGCAAAGAACTTGATGTATGAGTGGGGGAGAGGAAAAGGGAGAAGCTGTCTTCACATTCTGTGTTGATGAAGACAGAGAAATCCTGCTTGAGAGGCACTGAAGTTTACTATTTTCACTCGGCAGATGTCTGCTGAACGCACACCAGAGGAGATACTCCGGGAAGAAATAGGAAAGATGTGGTCCTGCCCCAGGCAGCTTCCATGGGGGCAGGAGGTCATCCGGGCAGAGAGAGAGGGTGCCGAACCCCTTATGTGTCTGCCTTTCTCTGCCTGGATGCACTGACACTGCACTCTGAAACAGTATCAGTGCCTTTGTCTCATTGACCTCTGCGGAGTGACCCCTAATACCCTTTTACCAAAGGAGCCTCCCTCTGCTTCTCCTAGCTTTCCCAGACGGTCAGCTGACAGGCTGTTCACACTGGCTCCTCACATTCTTCTTGATGGTGATGGATGATGGTTGGAAATGCAATAAAAGCACGTAGGAAAGGACACCGATGAGACACAGGCCTGTCGGGAGGACGGCCTTGCAGTACTTCCTGGCTTTCTTTGAAATTCTTTGCTTGTGCTTATAAAGGGCATGCTGGGGGAGGGGAGCCCTTCTTGTCTAGTTTCTCGGCTCCTATCCTGTGGAGAAAGCAACAAACACACTTCTCCCTGCTGGGTATGAGATGGTGTTCTATAGTTAGGAAGAGCACCCTAAAGTCCACTGCTGTCTGCCTACAAGTAAGAAGTAACGCCAACTCAGTGCTGCTTCTCAGAAAATAGTTTTGTTGTTGTTTTGTTTTCTTTAGACAGGGTTTCGCTGTGTAGCCTTGGCTGTCCTGGACTCGACTGGTAGACCAAGCCAGCCTCTGCCTCCCTGAGTGCTGGTATTATAGGAGTGCACTACCTGGACCAGCAGAAAATAAAGATTGGGAGGGTATTTTGTTGTTGTTGTTGTTGTTTGTTTGTTTGTTTTTCTAGACAGGGTTTCTCTGTGTAGCTCTCACTGTACTGGACTCATTTTATAGACCGGGCTGGCCTCAAACTCACCAGTGATCTGCCTGACTCTGCCTCTGCCTCCCTGGGTGCTGGGATTAGAGGTATGAGTTACCTCACCCAGATACAAAGCTTATTTTTAAACACAATTTTTCCTCCCTGAATTGAGTTGAGTATCACAATTTCTCCCCTGTGGATAAACGAAATTAGGAACAACACCAAGCTTATGCTGTTTTTCCTGTACATATGTGCTTCTGGTATACTTCCTTTTTGTTTGAGACAGAATCTCATTATGTAGCCCTGGCTGGCATGGACTCACTTGGTAGGCTAGGCTGGCCTCAGACTCATAGAGATCCTTCTACCCCTACCTCCTGAGTGTTGGGACTAAAGGTGTGCACCATCATATCTCCCTAGTTTGTTTTGTTGAGACAGGGTTTTTCCATGTAACAAGCCTGGCTGTTCTGGACTCTGTAGACCAGGCTGGGCTCGAACTCATAAAGATCTGCCTGCCTCTGCCTCCATGCCCAGCCTAGTTTAATTTCTTATTATTGAACTATTTCTTTATGAAGGGTTCTGGCTTTCCTGAATTATTATTCAGTAGGCATAAAATCAAAATGGAACAATGAGGCCACAGGATGTGGGAAATTTGGGGGTTTTGTTCTTTAAATTTTGCTTCTACACAGCTTAAATACCATTGTGGGGAGGGGATCTGACCCCATGCCAAGTTCACTTTAAAATAATGGAAGCTCTCTTGACAATTGCTTCTAGACTCAGGTTAGCAAAGATCAGGAGCTCTTCCTCAAGAGTATGGGATTGTACCCCCACAAAAGCAATACAAATCCAAAGCCCACCACAATGTCAGGATGAAGAGACTGTAAGTGATCTTATCCTCAAACTACTTTTACTATTATTCTCATATTATCCCTTAAGTAACGCTGTTTAAAAGGTAACTTGGAGCCTAAATAGGGATTGTGTGTACAGAGTTAAATGAGATAATGGATCATTTTCCTGGCCATACCCGCATCTGCACATGTTCTGGCTTTTCCCTATGGTGCAAGCTTCCCTGAAACTCTGTCCTGAGGGAGCTATAATTAAGATTCCCTGGTAACCTGCACCTGCCAGGCTGCAGCTGCCACCAGAAGAGGGAAGGGTACTTTATGTCTAAGAGAGATAATCTTGCTACCCCTTATTATCAGCGGCTGACATACTGCCCCAAGAATTTAGCCTCACTACTTCGGACAAGACGCTTTGATAGTGTCCTGTGCTCACCAGGCACACCCGCCTCCCCACCCAGCAAGCAAGCCAGGTCATTTCTTGAGTCAGAGAGGCAGCAGATGCAGTGGGCCCCTTCATGTTCCCGGCCGGCTTGGCTTCTATTCTTGGAAGAAGCCTCCCAGCATTACTTGCGGTTCCAAATTCCTTTCCAGAGCAAAGCTGGGACAACCTGGTGTTTTCAAAATCCAGAAAACATTTGTGGTGAATAAAAAAAGAGAGAGAGAGAAAGAAGTAAAGCGAGTCAAGAAAAAGTCTGCCAAGACAACAGTCTCCTGTCCAAGAAGCTGGCTCTTCTCCGACTATGCTTTAGCACTCCCCAGGATTCTGCCCCGAGCACACATCGGAAGGCAGAAAGAGAGCCACGTGGGCTGTGCAGATGACCCTTGCAGGAGCTGAAGTCAACTCTCTTTCCACTTGTCTTAGAAGGCAGTCGGGGCTGTGCCTACTAAGCTCAGATCTCTGATGGACTTGGCAGAGCTGCTAACTGCAAAGCTACCTAATATGTCTATTAGAGAACATTTAGAAGGTGGACTCTTGTGGACTGCTGCTCAGGAGGTGGGTGGGCAGGGGAACAGCAGCGGCACAGTAGGGAGCCCTTGGCAAGTCAGTTTGGATTACAATGGACAAAACCACTCACTTACCCTGTAGTCAGTGATGAGGCCTGGAGGAAAGAGAAAGACAAAGAGAGGCAGTTAGAGAGGGGTATCTTTTCTTCCTTCAGGCTTATAAATGATGACTTCTGGGGCAGACATGAAAGCACCCAAGGACTGACTGGCTAGGGTTATGCGTTCTTTGTGGCTCATTCAAGGTAACAGATTCAAGGGAAGTCCCTGAGAGCAGGATGCCCAGGACACACTTGGAAGGCTGAATTATTAATGGAGCGGGTCATACAAAGAATGATTCAAATAGTAAGTGGGGGGAGGTAGTTTTCCTCTCCACGTTCAAGGACGTTGGTTGGCATCTGGCACAAAGCAGCTGCTCTATCAAATTCCTCATCCTAGACCCAGTGACCCCACATTAGTTTTGAAAAGACTATTTTGCACTCTGGTGTCCTCTGTTGCTTAGAGCCCTAGATCCCAGGACAGCCTGAGGAAGAAAGCCAGGTGAGGAGTCACAAAACAAAGTTTCCAGAGTGTCCTGGACAGAGACTAGGGGAGAACACTGAGGTTGGCTGCAGCCCTGCCTGCTACTGGGCACATTAGAGTGTCAGCCCACCTTGGAAATCTCCTCCATAGACACAGGCCAGGCAAAGCATGCTGCAACTTGTATGGGTCCCTGCTTTCAGGCCATAGCTACTGCAGCATGGTCTTTTCAGCTGGGGCAACCTAATACCCATCATGCACTGCATAGGAGGGTTCAAGTTCTATTTTCAGGACATCTGAAGTCTAAGTATTTTCTCAACCAGGATAAAAGTGGCAATATTGGGGATACGCATAACTCCTAGTCTCAGCTTATCTTTTGATTAACTCTGAGACAGAGCTTACAGTTATACAAGGTCCTCAGTTCCCATCCCACACTCTGACCTTTTCTTTGGAGCTTTTTGTCAGCAATGGAGCTCTTAAACAAACCTGATGGCAGCAGCACAGTGTCAAAAATAACCTGATAGTGACTCACAAAGGCCCAAGGTACCTGGTAATAACTACATGACTCATAAGTGAAAATGAATGGATGACATCTCCCACTTCGAGTGTCTATGCCTGAGCCATCTGATAGGGTGCCGCTAGCCACATTCAGCTACTTTAATCACGTTGTTGCATGAAACTAAAGGAAATTGAAAACGTAGTTCTGCCAGATGAGCCATCTTTCAAGTGTCATCTTCCTGCTGTGGGTTAGTGGCTGCCATGTGGACAGCATAAAATTAGAACATTTCCTCAGTGCAGGAAACATGGTGGAAGGGTACAACTGAACACTTTAAAGAGAAGGATTTAGATACAAACAATTCTAGAAATAGAGGAGAACAGGAGTGAAAACCTGCTTCTTCATGAGTCTGTTTCATTGGGGATGAAGGAAGACTGGCCTCAATACATAGGCTCCTTGTACAATCACTTAGTGCAAACAAACAATGCCAACTCCTCTCCTACACCAGCAAGCTCCTATGTTTCTGGTTGTTTTACACACTGTGGCCTCCTACATCTTTAAAACTTTATAATTTATTTTGGTGGAGACGGCTTGTAAATGGAACATCAAAGCAACAAAATCAGACAATATTTAAAACTGAGATGTACAATATATTGACAACTGTGATTTAAATAACAAATGTCTCCCATGGGCTCATATATTTGAACATTTGGTCCCCAGTTGGTGATATTGTTTGAGGAGGTTATGGAACCTTTGGGAGGCAGAGTCTGGCTGCAGAAATTTTGTCATGGGAGGTGGTCTTTTTATAGCCTCGCCCTACTTCCTGCTCTCACCCTCTCTTCCTGTGTGTGGATGAAAATGTGACCAGCTAGTTTCCTGTTCTTGTCTAACCCTGCTTGTTGTCATGCCTTTTCCAACACAATAGATAGTCCCTCTGGTACTTTAAGCCAAAATAAACACTTTTCTAAGATTCTTTTACTCATGATATTTTATCGTAGCAACAGAAAAGTAATTAATACAGAAATATTTGCATTCGGAATATTGAATTAGGAAATCTAGTTTAGCATTAATTCTTTTCTACTTTTCAAAATAGATCTTTATTAATACAGATTATATTTGAAAAACCTACTTAATGAGAGCAATTATTTCTCTCTTTCATCAGCAGAAGCCAGCATTTTTTTCTGTTATATATTTAAAAAAAAATTCTCAGATACAGGCTCAGTTGGTAGAGTGCTTGCCTTGCAGACACAAAAGCCTAGATTTGATCCCCATAATCATAAACTAGGCATGGTGGCACATTTCTGCAATCTCAACACTAGGAGAATAGAGGCAAGACCATCAGAAGTATGAGGTCACCATTCTTGGCTACAAAGTGGAGAAGTTCTTGTCAGGGAAACTAGATTTTTGCTCTCTTGGTGCCTCTCAGACCCCAGCCTGCACTGACTTGGGATTTTGTACTGGCAGCTGTGGCTTACAAAGGATAATAGACACATGGAATGTGGTACTTTATGTTTTGTAAGAATTCAGCTGTGATGTATACCAGGGTTCCATGAGGAGACACTGGTAGAATCTCCCCTGTCTCTTTCTGTACCAGGGAAAATTCAGTCAGTACCTTAAGCCTCCGCTATAATTCCAGTAGATAGTGACTGGAAAGAAGTGTTTGGCAGCTGGGCGCTGTGGTGCATGCTTTAATCCCAGCATGGGGGAGGGAGAGGCAGGCGGATCTTAGCCTAGTCTATAAACCAAGTTCCAGGAAGGCTACACAAAGAGAAACCCTGAACCCTGCCTCAACCCCCCTTCCCAAAATAAAGAAGAAGAGAGGGAGGAGGGGAAGCTCTGCAGTGGTGCTGTTGGGAGATGCTTTGGACCCTTACAAAGTGAGGCCCATTGGGATGTTCTTTAGGTCCCTGGAGTCGTGCATTCAAAAATGGATTATGACAGCCCACCAGTTTTTCTTTTCCCCTTCTCTTCCCTTTCCTCCCCTCCTCTGATTTATGAAATAAATATGCCACAATGTGAGCACTTGTTTTGCTACATGCTCCCACCGTGATGTGCTTCCTTCAACAAAGGCCCAAATCTCTGGGGCTACCCTGTCTTGGACTTGAGCCTCTAGAAACATGAGTTAATTGCCTCAGGCATCTCACTGTAGCAAGCGGATGACTTACACAGTCACCATGGCTCAAACACCTCATTGTGTCTGCTTTCGGCCATGCTCTCTGGGAAGCACATGGCTAAATTAGAGGCCACGCCAGTTACTGCAGGCTTCCTGCTACGGCTCCTAGCAGAAGTCTGTGCGCCCTCAAACTGCTGCTCAATGCCTGGTCCTCCTCCTCGTCAGTCTCTGCAGACACTGAGCCTCCTTAACTGTCACGTCAGCACACCAGGCGACCACCAAAAGCAAGAAGTGTGCACGGCACAAACAGCCCTACCTAAGTTTTCTTCCTATTTTCTCCTCATTCCCCCTCTCTATCCAGCTTGCTTCCTTTGCCTTTTTTTTTTTTTTTTTTTTCTTCACAATTTTGATGGATGTTGTGGCAATAGTTTTTTTAGGAAAGCCGTCAGCACAGTCACTATTCTACGTGTTTTCTCTCTTGGGAGACGCGCCTGAACCTGTACTGAGGTTGATGGCTGCACTCCTCCTGGCCTTAACTCCCACCCGAAACTCAGGCTCTTGCTGCTTCTGGGGTGAGAGGGAAATCCTCTGCTAGAGAAATCCAACCCCTCACCCCCAACTCAGCACAGCGTGGCAGGAGCTGTGAGTATAAGCTAAGGGAGCACATAGCCTCCCTCCCCCGAGCCCGTCTGAGGATGGCGCTATGAACTTCTTCTGCGTGGCCAGGGCAGCACTGAAAGAAAGGACCCCTGAACAGCCTGCTCACCGGATTCCTGATGACTGTGCTTCAGATAAACAGGGTCCATTTTAAAGGCTCCTGTTAAGTCGGTTCTCCTTTTCACCCTGATTTGAGAGAACAGAAGACAGGGCTTGTAAATTCCAGAAGGAATAAAGATATTCTAAAGACATTTGTACCCCTCCCTTTGGCTATCAGACGTTTAAGAACACAGATTGGAATTTCCCCAGGAATCTCATGCTGGGAAAGGGAAAAAGCTAAAAGCCAGAGGGTAACTTGTCTCCCAGAAACAGGTTTCACCCAGTTCTGAAGACTTGTCAGACCACTTACACAGGAGACAGTGGAGCCAGGACAGTGATGGGCTAGACCACACATTGACCAGGACTGCTTAGTTATGCATATCCCTTGGTCTTTATTTAAATCTGATTTCCATGTCTGTACCCAGAAAATGTGGGTGGAAGTGTCACTGGGCCTCTTTATTTGTTTCTCTTCCCAGTGTGGCCACACTGAAGAAATCTTGTTGGTGTTTATCATTTTTACACCTCTTAGTTGGCATACTGAGGGGAGGTGGGCAAGCCTAGCTTGTTAGGGCTGCCAGTGCCCAGGCTCTGACACTAACAACTCAGAAAACACACCTTGCTGAATGGGTAGCAACATACTGGGCTCTACACTGTGCTGGCTTCTGTTGTTTCGAGTTTTGTATGGAGGGCCTCTGATTTCAAACAATCAGTAGTGTTTCAGTGTGGCTTTCTGTGTGTTGATTTTAGCCCTATTTTTGTTGTTGTTGTTGTTGTTTTGTTTTTGGTTTGGTTTGGGTTTTTTTGTTTTTGTTGTTGTTGTTTTTCTGCTACTGGAGATCAAATCCAGAGCCTCGTTCATTGTAAGCAAGCCACACCGCCAGCTCATCATTATCACAGCGTTCTTCATTTGCATTTCTGGTCTTTGACAGGGCTGGCTACGTTTTACTAAGAGGCCTTGTGTTGGACAGTACATGAAAATGGTGTACACACACACACACACACTAAATAAGGAAACATGACTTTTTACAAACATACAAAGTTAGGTCCAGGCATAGTGGCACATCCTTTGATTTTTGTCTAGCAGGGGTATTTTACACTAATGCCTTTTCTGAACCTGATGGGATAACTTTTTTTTCTTTAACATGATGAATGACATTTTTTTTTTAACATTCTAACACACATATCTGGAATACACATGTTCTGGACCATTATAATATTTTTGTTAAACACCACTGGATTTTACTGAAAGGGTTTTTGCAGAGGAAGAGTGTGTTGGCAGATTGGGACTAAAGAATGCTGCAAAAATCACATAACACAAGAGATTTATTGACTTGAAATTCAAAATTTTAAGTTTGTGGGGTTATCCTATGTTGTTTTGTTTTGTTTTGTTTTGTTTTCTTTCTGGACCTCTCATCTGGTTTTGGAATGACGCTGAAACTAAGCGACATTTGCTGTCCCCTGTGAACTACGCTTGTGATTGGACTGAAACCTCCCCCGACTAATTGCAGAAGGGACAAATTTGAATATTTTACAGGCATAGCACATGAGTTCTGGGGTTTTCTATTTATTCTGTCAGTTTGGTTTGGCAAAAAAAAAAAAAAAAAGTTTTTATATGGGTAGTTGTGGACATTCTTGATCATATTCCTCTTGCTGTTTTTAACAGCCATACCCTTTTACTGTCTTCACAAATGGTCAGTATGCACTTACTTATTTACTTCCTCATTTGTGGTGCTGGGGGATGAATCTGGGACCTCAATGTGCCATCAGAGAGGCAACATCAAGCTACATCCCAGCCCTTCTTTAATTTTGTTTTATTCATCTTTCCTGAGATCGTTTATCTAACCAGACAGAACAGGGACTGTCTGGCTTTGTCAATTCTCTCTGCAGCTCTGATAGGAAAGAGAAGTTAAGCGCTTAACAGATCATTCCATACTGAAAGTACCAAACAAACAGTAAAAAGCTTATGAACAAAATAATGAATTCATTAAGAAACTATTTACTATGCTTATGGTGATTGCCAGTTTCAGAAACTTCCATTATCTTGTCCATTTTAATATTTAAAGAAGTCAACCAAAGGATTTATGCTACATTATGGGCAAACTGTTGGCGAAATTTCATTAAACAAAAGAGAGGCACTTCTATTTTAAAGATTACCAAACAAGGCACAAAGCAAAACAAAACACACAAACAAAAAACACTCCCAAACCAAACAAATTAATATATATATTTGTTTCTTGCTTTAGTGAAATCTTAAAACGTATCTGTAAAAATTTATTACCTTGGAACTGTGGACTTGTGCCACATTTTGCAGGGTCTGAGGCTGAGCCACCTCGGGCCTCTCGTATTTACAGATCTCCTGACTGTGACTGCCCCGTGCTCTATTTTGACAGAGCAGATCACATTACTGCAGTATCAAGGCTAGCAAAAGATTTCTTCTTATTTAGTAGATAGATGTTCGGGACAGTGCGAAAGAGCATTGGAAAAGTTCTCGGATTTCATCATCTGAGTGACTCCGGGTCACCACCTTACAAGGCGCCATCTTCCCTTAAAGCTCTCTGCAAACACTCAGAGGGAGCCCCCTGCCCTCCCCCACCCCCAGCATGCTCCACAGAACCCCTCCGTGAAGGCAGCTGCGCAGGGAAAAGACCGGATGGGGATGTTGTGTCTAGCTGGTGACCTTTTGCCTTTAGGCTGTACTTTCTGGGCTAAAATTCAGGGCCTTTTGTAGTGTTCCGAGAGAAAACACAGTCAATAACTGTTTGAGTGAAAGTTGAAACAGAATGACTGCCTAATGTCGGGCCCTCTTAGCCAAAACACAACCCCTTTCTTCAGCTTCTTCTGTGCCCATGATGAATGATCCCACTGGGTTCCTTGAGCACATTGCAGTGCATGGGTGTGTCAGATACGTGCTGCATCCTGTATCTGCTCTAAGATGGTATGCACAAAGTGCAGAATTCCATCTTGCTCTGCTCAGCCCTGCACTTTAAGACATCAGGGCACCAGCCCTGATACTGATCGCTATGCACCCTTTCACAAGAGAAAAATCCCTCCCTGCTCTGCCCCCAGCTCTCTCCACCTATCTCTCTATCTCTCTTTCTGAAGGAATCTTCTTTGTTGCACAAGCTGGTCTCAAACTCCTGGCTTGAAGTAAACCCTCTTATCTCAACTTCCTGAGTAGCTGAGGCTGAAGGTGCATGCCACCACGTATTTCTGGATTAAGCCTTAAGCTCTAGCTTCCTCGACCATAAAACAGGGGAGCAGTTCCTGACCCTGCAGAGCTATTGAGGGTGAGATAAACTGTGAAGTGCTTCAGAAATGGCAAGCGTTTGCTTAGAAGGTAAAATTCTTATGCAAAGCTCCGGAACTGCAGTAAATGTCTGACAAGGATATTTGTGGCAAGCCCTTTGTCACTTCTAGTGAGGACCAAAGAAGAGTAGAATTCCTTCCACGCAGCCTGAGAGCTCAGCTGTGTGCTGCTTCTTGGCAAAAGTCTGCTGTTGCCATCTAACACGGCCCTTTCTTCAGGGATGCCGTGAACAACTGAGAAGCTTGTGTTTTCTGAGAGCCTTGTGCTTGACTGCCTAACTGTCTAGCAGGGCTGTATTGAACCTGAAGGCATGTGCCCTGCCCGGGGCTACTCAGCTCTAACCCATTCTGACTATGAGAATAACATTTTGAAAAGAAGCACATGTATATAAAACCACCATTTTTTTTAAATGTAGTACTGCTTACTTGAAACCAATTCAAAGCCGTCTTCCAACCAAAAAACCTGCAACTCTTTCAACCAAATCTGAGCTAGGCATTGTGTTCATTCTACCTCAGGGCCTTTGCACACACTCTCTTATTCCTGCCCATCCTCTCTCCCTATTCAGATCTCTGGTCAAATGTCACTTCCCCAAAGGGCCTTCTCCTGACCTCCCTATCATAAATAACCTGTCAGTGAATGAAAGAGCCAATTCATGATGTCCTGGGCACTTTTCCCTCCTCATATCAGCTCCCAGACCCTCTGTTCATTCCTCACTCAAATCTCTCCCCATCACTCCCCAAGCATTCCTCAAGCCTCCTCATCACAGACACTGAAGCTGCCATCACCTACATTTTATGTACTGTCACCCACTATTTTATCTAGTTTCTTAGCTTACACCGGTTATTATTTTATTTCCTGGCACTCCATGCCTAAGACCACTAGAGTATGAAATAATTTTGTTCTTGTTTTAATTTCATAATGCTCAGGTTCAAATGAACTAAAAAGTTTCTTTTAGCTGCTATCTGAATGTTGAATCCGAATCTTGAAGTGACTAGGAGTTGGGGACTCTGAGGTTATCAGGTTACAGTGGTGCAATCTTAGTTAAAAATAATTACTGAATAGCTCTTATAAAAAGTTCCTTAGGTGGCTCCCTCACCCCTCTCCCTAGGTGTGGACACAGTAAGAAGAAATTGTCTATGAGGAAATGAACCCTGACCTGACATACCAAGTCTACCAGGACCTTAATCTCTTGATTCTCTTCAGTATTTTGTTATAGTAACACAAAGTGGGAAGCTAAAAGGGTAGAGGTTCTCGCATACAGGCTGGGCAGCTTCATCCTCAGATCCCACAAGATGGCAGGAAATGGCCAACTCCTGTGTGTTGCCCTCTGACTTCCACACACATTCCAAGGCTTTTTGCGTGCCTGTTCTGTCCGTCTACCTGTCTCTCTCTCTCTCACACACACACACACAGACTATACATATATAAGTAAAATTTGTGAAATGTTATTAAAAATTTTGTGACAAAAAAGAATTTGATTTTACAGCAGTTAAAGGACTACAGATAAGCTACTAAAACAACACACTGATTATTTCGTAAACTGGAAGATTTGACGTTACCTTAAGTTTAGAGAGAGCTGTGTTTTTTTTCAGTTTCAAGGCAACGTATAATCTGTTTAATTACATTATACACTGAGCATTTTTTGCAAAGTAAGCATATTGAAAACGTTAACCTTACGTACTATAATAAATTCAAGAAAAAGCTTTCCCCTGGTTCTATGAGTGATTAATCAATTTCTCCCTCTGATTTTTTTTTTTTTTAAAGAAACAAGTTTCTATTGTTTCTGCATCATTCCCAGCCACTATTTCTTAAAAGGTCATTAAGTGGCACACTGTTACTTTTTGTTTTTTTTCTGTTACTTAGTTTTTAAACTTATTTTGCTTATTTAGATACAGCTAAAGTGAGTACTGAATTGTTACTAAGAATTTCCAGAGGATTTTAAAGATGTTGTACTTTTCTTTATTTGCAGAAAGTACTTTTAAGCATTTAGATTGTTTAAAGTCCGAGTTAGTCTGAGAGGCTGAAGATAAATCTAAGAGTAAATACACAGAAGCAACAGAATTAAGTATAACTACTGAGGTTTCCTGGGATTTGGTGTCTGCTCAGGAGAGATAAGTCAAATGGCAGGTGGCCTGTCTCCAGGTTCTCTCCCCTCAAGCTAATCTGTTGCAACAATACAGTCTAGATAAAAGTTTACAGCCAGAGTGAGACTGGGCAGGAATTCCAGCAGGCCTTCTGAAATGGAAGCAAGTGATGAACTGAGTGATTAGATGTATTGTCTCTGTTCTCATGCGGGGTCCTGGATGTGTCCTGGCAAGTAGGTTTCCCTCTCTGCAGGGACAAGGGCTATCACAGGCCCTCAACAACAGAGAAACTTACCACATGGCAGAGCAGTCAAAATTCACCAAAAGCCATTTGTGGGGGTTAAAGTTGAAGGAATCTGCAAACTGTAGAGGAATAAGGAAAACAAAACAAAACAATAAACAAACAAACAGTTCAGTCCCAGCTCTTTGGGGATAAAGCAAGACCCTTTGTGTTCTAACATATCACATTCTAGGTTGCATACTGTAATAGCACACAAGATTCCCCATTCAAGCGGTCAGAGGGCTGGAAATGTAGAATATTCCGCTGGTAAATACCATGTCCAGAATACACAGATTGGGCCTGCAAATACTTTATGCACATCATTCCTTCAATTTCCCGAAGTAGCAAATTTCTCGGAATATGAGAAATTTGATGACAGAGAAAACTCTCATAACTAATCTACAGTGATTAGAAATTCCCTTTTTAAAAATTTAACTGAAGGTTCTTTGGCCAGGATGACACAAGACCACAACACTTCCCACGTACCTAAGGGCTTCTCTCCTCCTCAGTTTTAAAGATGAGGTCTAAGTTCAGTGAATTCCTGACAGTTACAGGTTTCTTGCCTGGAGGGTCACAGATAACAACAGCGGCTTAGCAGACCACGTTTTCAAGGAGAAAATAGGTTTCTCCCAAGGGCAGCAAGAAGGCTCCTGGGTGTAAGCTGTGCACTCACAAAGCCGCGAGCACAAAGGCGGCTTTCTGCCATTTTCCAAATGCAGGCCCGGGTTTCCCGTGTGACTAATGAGTGGCAATGAGTACATTTGAATGTCAGGGATTTGGCCTCAGAGCTCAATTTAGATAGAGGCGAGGATCAGTCTAGCCCGATTTCCTAAAGGGACATTTTTCAAACTTCCCAAGGCTTTGCGGTTGCTCCTCTTTATTTAAGTCCAGGGACCCTCACTAAGGAGGTAGCAAAGTCCCAAGTGGCCTGATTGGTGTCAGAGATAGCCATACGGCCAGCCGAAGCAAGCTTCCATATGGACCCAAGCTGGAGGTGCCGAATCATTTCCTCCCAGGTTTCAGAAAAAGTAATTTTGAGAAGGAGACAGGAAATTACAGCAAGTTTCATTTGTTGATAAAAGGAAACAAAAGGTTAAAGAGGAGCATTGTTTGCTGGGGATTTTATTAGTTCCCTCCGCTGGGGCTGATCTGTTTAAACTTCTTTCATTACGGTACAGTGATATTTTCCTCCCGCTGACAGAGAGGACGGCCCTTATCTGCAAGGGTCGGGCCACAGCAGGATATTGCGGCCGCTTATCTGACCACGGAGCAGCCAAGCCCTCAGCCAGGCAAGGAGAGAGCGGTACCACTAATGGAGGAAAAATTGCAGTGATTCCTTGTCCCTGTGAGTGCTGTGAATGCTGTCTGCTGTCGATAGGATCTAGCTGCGGTGCCCATCGCTGTGGTGGTCTGACTGTCCGGCACCCCTCTGTGAAAGGTGAAACTTTGAGTTGTCAGTTCAGGCCAAAGGAGAGCACTGGTAGATCAGGAAACCCTAAACCTGGACTCAGCAGCCTCCAGCCTGGGCCCGACTACGTAAAAGGCACAGAAGACGCGTGGCCTTTCTTTTTCCCTCCACTATGTTGAAGGACAAATGGGTCGAGTGTTCCATATCTGAAATGCTTCCTTATATTTACATAAACAGAGTGAAATAGATTAGCCATGGGACCCAAACCTAAACATGAAATGTAATTATTCGGAGATACAGGTTGGAGATAATTTACTCAGTGTTTTTAAATTTTCTGTGTGTGTGAGACAGACCTTCATGATATGGAATTTACCACTTTGGCATAATATCAGAGCTTGGAAAGCTTCAGATTTTGGAGCATATTTGATTAGAAATGTCCACACACCATCAAGATTAGCGTTCATTTCGTGGACCCAAAGAACCCACAAAACTGGTAAGGGGTTTGGCATCAGAATCAGAGTATCAGAACTTTCCATCTATTAACACAACCCCCTAATTTGATTTTGACATCTTTCTACCTCCTAGGGTGGATCCAAGCTTAGCCTGCATGGTACACTCAGGAAGGAAACACTATGCAAGAGAAGGAATGGTCACAGTGCAGACAGGAGCCACAATGCTGTTTGCTCACCAGCAAGAAGGGGGATTTATTCTCTTCAAAGATGGGACAATTTGTATCCCATACCTTTGACATTCGCTTTTCTGATATCACAGTCTTAGGAGAATTCAAAATAGTGATTAGAAGATTGATTGGCAAGCCTGACAAGCAAGCAGAAGGAGGTTTAGAGGGAGTTTCTTTAATCCCCTATGAAAAATAATGAAAGCATGTAATGCTTGCTCAGCCTCCTATGTGCCACACTCTTCCTAAACCCTTTAAGTACGATTAACATAGCCACTCCTTAGGCTAACCTCACAAAGCATTCATCCGTGGGAAATCCATTTTGTGATGTGACTAGAGGATATCAGACCTGCCCAAGGGCACATGCTAAGTCCAGTCTGGAATGGTGAAACCTGCGTGCTGGTCCCACTTCCCTTACAAGGTAAAATCTCAAGAAACCTCTTCTTCCAAGAGAAAAGCAATTCTTTCCTGGCTAAAGCACAGACTCCCCTAATTTAGCATCTCCTTCCTCGGACAGACTTCTATAGGAGGCCTCTTGGGGCTCTTTAGTGCATTAATCTGCTAGTTGCCTGCAGGAAACGCTTCCTATCCTATAGACAGCCCATAATGGAATTCTGCCTCAAGTCTGGAAAGATGAGCACCACATCACATCTGTGTGTACTTTCTGTGTTATGTCTGCACTGCTTTACCTTCTGTAGGTCTGGGGAACGTAGAGTACTGGCTGTTTTGATTGTTACTTCTTAAGAAAGAGTTTCATTCGGTATGACAGGATATATTTTGTAATTTTCCGAAGAGTTCACGGGACATTTAGAATGCATTGGTGACTTTCTATGGAATATTGGCCAATGAGACCATCTTACTCAGGTATAGAAGAAGAATGTGAACAACACATTGAGCCAGATTGTAGGGAATTGCAGGATGACGTTTTAAATTATTGTTTGACTGGAATGCATAGAAATTTTATTTTACTCATAAATATTTTCCATAGATTTATATGTATAAGTCTAACCTGGTGCACAGCTCTGCCCAAGATTTGTAGCAACTGGAAAATAGCTGTCAACCTCAGGAGAGCTTCAAAAGACAGGCTATATGACTGGAATGTCCTCAGGCCCTGTCCTGAGGAACTGTCGATTGTTTTATTAAGTTAGTTTTCATTTTTAAAAATTATGTGTATGTGGGGTGAACAGTATATATACATGTATGGAGCGCAGGTGTGCCCAGGCCAGAGGTATCTGACCTCCTAGAGTTGCAGTGATGGGAGTAGATGCTGGAAATCAAACTCAGGTCCTCTACAAGAAGAGTAAGCATTCTTACTTGCTGCTCTGTTTCTCCAGCTCCCTGAGGAAATGTAATTTCTAATAATCATTGCAACTGATGAGAAAGTAGTTTGCTGAAATAAACCAAAGCAATAAAATTTGGGGTGTCCAAATTATTTATTATTTAGGTTTTTGAAATAGGGTTTCTCTGTGTAGTCTTGGCTGTTCTGGCTTGGGGTGTTGAATTCTTACAAAGGAGAATTTACTGATAACACATTGGGTTTGTTTTTGTTTGTTTTTTAATGACCTTGGAGTAGCAGTGTTGCTCAGTTTTGACCACTTGCCAGTAAACAGGAGGCCCATGGGCTTGATTCTCAATGCAAAGAGTCAAAACGAAAGACCTTATTGAACAGTTTACTCACCTCCACACCATTCAGAAGATACCGGAACTCAGGACAGATAAAGGCACTGCCCGCATACGCGGCATCAATGTGCAGCCATATGCCCTCTTGGTTGCCTAACATCAGAAGCAAATGGTAAGTTCTCACCAGGGTAGCCCTCACCCCATGAGGAGTAAGAAGTGACTGTCTAGCATACCACTTACATACACATATCAATAGTCTTTGTCTAACAAATGGCTGGATCTTCCAAAAGGCCCTCCGTCTTTAAGGCCCTCAGGCTTTAAAAGTGAGGGCATATGTATGAGCTGCCGGCCTTCCAACACATCGGCTGTCCAGAGAGTGCTTACAAAGTGGGGGGAACAAGCAACCACACAGCATTATGTTGAGGCCAGGGCATGCAATCCCTATTGTGCTTACCTAATTCTTTTCTGTTTTCCATCCCCCTCATTCCAGTGTATTCCTTCAATCTATTCGCTAATCCCTGCTCAAGGCCTCCTGTGAGAAACATCACTTAATCCATACTCTGAAGATCTTGGTTGTCAAGTTGACCAGATTTGGAATCACCCAGGAAGACAAAACTCTTGGCATGTCTGTGAGGACATTTCTAGGAAGTGTTAACTGAGGATGGAAGACCCACAGTGAAAACCAGTGGCACCTTCCAATGTGTGGGTCACATATAAAGAGGTCCCAGGAATAGCCCTGTCACCTCCCTGCCTCAGATGCTGTCTCTTTCTTAATCAACTTCATTCATTCCTGGTGCTGGTCCCTGCTGATATCGCACTCCAGCTTCCTCAGCCTTCCACTGTGGACTTACTACCAAAAACTTATCTCCAGGCTTTTGGCACTAGGTTGTGCCTGCTGAAGCATCCACTTCCTGGACAGAGCAGTGGCTGAGTTCCTTGAGTCTCTACACAGAGGCAGCCATAGTATACAATCTAATACATCCCATTTTTTAGAATATATATGTGTGCAGATGTGTGTATAGGATATACATATATACATTTCTATTGGTTCTGTCCCTCTAGAAAACCCTGCAAATATATACAGTAATTTTGGTCTGCCTCCTCCCTGTCTACCACAAACTTAGGTAATTTACCTTACACTATCTTAAACTACCCTCGGCTCCAGTCATAAATGTTTCCTAAGTGAATTAGTCATTTTTCCTGTTGCTTTGATAAAATACCCTAACAAAAGCAACTTAAGGGATGGTGGGTTCACTTGGCTCACAGTTCAAGGTATAGTAGTTCTGACTGAGGGAGCTTGCGGTAGGTGATCCTGTTCGTTCTGTGACCAGGCAGCAGAAAATGACAAATACTTGTCCTCATCCAGCTTTCTACTTTTGATGCAGTACAGGACTCTTCCCCAGAGAACTGTGCTACCACTTTTAGGGTGGATATTTCTACCTCAATTAACTTAATCCAGATAATCCTCCAGAGGTCTGGCCAGATGCTAACCTAATCTAAATTAGGGGTCTGTTGTGCCTGGAGTCTTATCTCCTTCAGGATTCCAGACCCTATCAAGCTGACAATCAACACTAACCTTCACTCCCCCCACACGTAACAGCCTTAAAGATAGAGTTCTCACTTTGTTTGGGGACGAGAAAGTCCCCTCTACAAGCATACCCCCCAATATGTGCGTATCTGAGCTCACTGCTCTGCTGACGACTTCCCTTAGCCACCTAGCCTAAGCTTTACTCTCTCACAGGCAAATGAAGGTAAGGGTGATGCCTATAGCTTTGCCCATCCTATCACTTAGAAGTCAGTGAAAAAGCATCAGTTTTCTAGCAAGGCATAGTGCATAATATGCATAGTGCATAGGGCATAATAAAATCATTAATTTTTTTAGTACACCCTTAATCCCAGCACTCAGGAGGCAGAGGCTGGTGGCTCTCTTTTGAGTTCTAGGCCAACCTGGTCTACAAAGCAAGTTCCAGGACAGCCAGGCTGTCATAAATAGAAACCCTGTCTGAAAAAACAAGCAAAAAAAAAAAAAAGATAATTTTTATGTATTGCTAATATACAAATCGAAACACTCCATGCCAGACAGAGGCCTCTTAAGACTCAGGAAGTAAATAAACTCGGGTCTCAGGAAGTTCTTGAAATTTACAAGATTTACAAGATGCCTCTTGCTGCAGCTCTAAAGCTAAATAATAAACAGTAATGGCTGCTAGGAAAAGAAGACCAGCCAGCAAAGCTCCCTACAAGTAAATGCTGGGAGCGTCAGGGTGCAGCTTTTGTGAGATGCCAGCTAGGTTGGGGTCTATTTTTCAGTAATGTAGCTGCCTTTGAGTCATCCATGTTCCTTTGGGCAACCTTTTACCGAGAATCCTGTAAATAGCCCCTAAAGTCAATGTTTCACTGAGTTGGACTTTTGGAAAATTGTTAATTTGGTCTTTAATTGGTTTCTTGTCAGAGGTGAGTAATTCTGTGTGTGTGTGTGTGTGTGTGTGTGTGTGTGTGTGTGTGTGTGTGTGTAGCAAAAATATACCATGAGAAATAGCCCAACCACCAAATATAGTTACAAGGCAGTTAAGACACAAAGGTTGAGGCTATGAAGAGGATAACAGACCGCCATCCCTGCACAGGTGAAGATACTGGTGTCCTATATTTATACAAAATGATAGATCCACCACTGATTTTTCATACATCATGATCATTAATGTGTGTGCTGTGAAGAACAATGAGTCATTCTGAACTCTGCTGATAAAAGATATAAAAGACATTTCAAAGCTTGGATTCTGTTTATTCTTCAAACTAAGACTCTTAGCCAATCAAGGTCAGATGAATTATAAACTCATGGATACCACTATGGCCAAGACACTGTGAAAAACTAAGGTACAAGAAGAAACCCAAAGCCTTCTGAAGCAAGGGTGAAGGTGTCAGTCTCACCAGGTGCTCACATGACCTCAGTTGGGTGCAGCAAGAGACAAAGCCTTAGGATAACACAAGACACTCCCCAAGGAGCAACAGGATCATGATGGATGGAGATCATAGCCACCACTCAGATTAGCTGTGGGGTCAACCAAACTTTATACTCCTTTGTAAGACAAGACATGCTGTAATTTGAATGTCTGCTAAACCCTAACCTCCAGGGTGAGGGCATTCCCTTTGGGAAGCGACCAGATTGTCACGGTGGAATTCAGTTAACACCCATATAAAAGAGACACCAGAGAGACTGCTGGTATCATCTACCGTGTGAGCACACATAGAATGGCCCAACTTGTTAGCCAGCACATAAGTTCTCTCCAGGCATCAAATCAGCTGGTGCCTTGATCCTGAATTTCCACACACAGGAAATGTAAAAAATGAATTCCTGTTGTTTACAAACCCTGGGGTCTGTGGTGTTTTGAGGAGCATCCCAAAAGGACAAAAAGAAGATGATTCTGTGTTTTCCATGGGTGCTGCTTGGGTCCCACATAGGCCCCTACCTATAGAATTTGCCTTTTTGGCTGAGGTCCTTTAATAAAGTGCCATAGATGCCACTGTTTACGTTCAGCTCAGGATGCTGAATGAAGAAGTGAGACAAAACAAGATGGAGGTTCTGCATGGGCTGACAGTAAGAAACACTCATACCATGGCATGGGGGAAGGGAGGGTCTAAAAGGGCGTTCAGGTTTCTGTTTCTTTTACTCCCCTCTGTTGCTCCTCCCATACCCTCCACTCTTGAGTGAAGGGCATGCTGGATAACTCAGCAAAATCTTGAAAAGAAAGCAGGTCATTCAACTGCACCCCAAGTGTCTCAGAGCTTGTTTCATAGCACCCAGATGAAAAAGACAATTCAGTCTGAGTCCTAACAACTAAGGCCACTCAAGAATGTTTCAGGTCCCTTCCCCATAAACCTGGTTCAGTAGGTAGGAAAAGATAAGAGCGCACCAAATAGTCTGTACTGAAGAATCAAGTTTACCTGCAAAAGATCTAACCTCTACTCTGGTTTCCGAGGGATGACCTACAGTCCTCTTTTTGGCATGGGGCTTTGGCCCAGACAGTCTGATCTATGATTTATGATGGAGACACTGGGTGATGCCCTTAACAATTTTGACATCTAGAAGAGTAGGTCTCGAAGGTACTAGCTGGGCTTCCAGTAAGGCCTAAGTAGGACCCAATCCATGCAAAAACAAACAAACAAACCAAAACCAAAAAACAGACAGTTAAAGGTTAGGAGAGCTTGCCTGCTAGGGAAATGTCATTACTCAGTGCACATGGTTACACATTATAACTACAGAAATTCATACCCTCATGACTCCTCAGAGACCATCAGAAGCCCTTTTGCTCACACTTCAAGACCATCCTGTGTCTCCTCTGCTGATTTTCTTGTTTTTTTTTGTTTTTGTTTTTGTTTTTTTTTTTTTTTGTTTGTTTGTTTTTTTTTTTTTTTTTTTGAGAGACGGTTTCTCTGTATTGCCTTGGCTGTCCTGGACTCACTTTGTAGATCAGGCTGGTCTCGAACTCACAAAGATCTGCCTGCTTCTGCTCCCAGAATTATAGGCATGTGCCACTGTGCTCAGCTTCATCAGCTGATTTTAATCTCTGTCTTCAACCATCCCTATGAGATAGTTCTCGGTAAGTTTTGAGTCTTCTAGCTATAGCAAGGGTCAGAACAAGGATACAAGGCCACAAGGACTGCCTCATGGAGACTATCTTCTTCAATTTAAATTTAACCCCAAACTCGAATAAAAGATAACTCACCAATGCTCTTTAGAAACAAATGGGCTTTTCTTGATTCTATGGGGGAAGTGAGATGGTATTGACAATGCCTCTGTGTTCTGCATTTTACATGATTGGCTGACACCAGCCCCATCATCCAGGTTCTCCAGCATGTGTACACATATAGGAGTTGTGTGAATGCAGCATGAACACACAACAGCTAGATATAGTGAGTTACACATGCCAGGTACATTAGCACTGAGGCCACACCACCTTTGGCCTCGGCAGCCATTGGTCTACTATTGCTACTACAATCTATTTTCTACGTGGCCACCTCAACATGCAGAACCCAGGCCATAGCAGCACAGCCTCCTTACAGCCCCTCTGGGGGCCAAGATGAAGCTGTGACAAGCTGCAGTACGCCCCTCCCCTCCCCATATCCTGAGACTGCCTACTTTGCTCAGCCAGACCCCCTTCCTTGGTGTCCCCACATGTGTACCAAGGCTGTCATCTATCCATCTGCTATAATCCATCCCCTCTTTAATAAACGGCTGCCATGGAATTTGGTCCATCGTGGTAGACAAATGTCACCATCCTCTCTGGTGCACCATTTTCAAAGGAACTAAACAGAGCTTGAGTTTCCTGAAGCAGAATCTGGAAGACAGCCATCTTCTGATGTAAGATGGTGAGTGGAGAACTCTGGGTTGTTATAACTCGATCATTTTAATGAATAGGATAAGGCCAGCTCAGAGCACATTGCTTGGCGGCGAAGCATTCTGATTGATGATAGCTAAATAGAAGACACCAGTTTAGAGATGGTGGGTTTAAGACACTACCACCAGTCAGTACTAGTGCTAGTAGTAGTACAAGGACTGCCCTCAAGTATGAACATCGGTCATGCATGAAAGGGTTTGGTGTTGGCCTGTCAGCACCCCCAACATTGTCCCAAGAGCAGTCTCTGGGCTTGAACCCAAACAGCAAAGCACATATCAGGCTCTGCCCACAGCACCAGAACCGCCTGACAGAGGGAGCTCCAGGACAGCAGGGCAGCCTGAGCTGTAATCATCCAGCAATGTGGGCATTAATGGCAGGGGCCACCTGCTGGCTGTCATCTTCCTGCTCCTGTGGGGAGCCAGATTGAGTTCAGGGATAGCAGCCATGTAGGCTCTATCTGGCAGAAGACTTCAGTGCTTTAAATCTGATAGCCCTGGGGAATGACATCAGCCGGCTGTTGGCCAGGACATTCAGTCCTTGGCCTGACATCTGAGTCAGAGGACTTCGGCTTGCTTGGCTGAGCTTGTGAAGGTCTGCAGCTAACGAGGCCCACAGTACAGCCATAGCTGAGGATGGCCAGCTAGTTCAGTGTGTTCTCAGCCTGCTGTGTGGCTGTGTGTGGCTGTCTTTAGCCAGTAATAATCACAGCTGTGCCATAGCTCATAACAGGTGGAGCCAAATCCGGAGTGAATGGCAAGGCTATGTCCACACCACTTCTCACGGTTGGTGATTAGCCTCACGGTCCTGGCAGTACAAGCATGTACTACAAGCAGTACATGCCTTTCCTACAGCCCAGTTGTCTGCATGAACTCCCTTGAGCTGCACTGTGAAGGAAATAGTCTTTTACCATTATGAGAACCGTTTTTCTTTCCAATTTTCAGATAGGGGAAAATGAAGGTCAGAATTTAAGACATGCAGCTGTAAGCTATAAGCTTCTCTGCTGCTTAAGGTCATGGCCAGCCACACACACATCTCCCCTCCACACACACACACACACACACACACACACACACACACACACACACACCACACCAGTGTGCCTGCAGCATCACCTCCACCATTGTTTCCCTACTAGCCAGAGAACAACGACCCAGGGGAGAAGAACCTCTTCCTGAGAAGAGGCCACAAGCAAATCAGGGGTTAGGAGAGGTGGGAAACGTGCTTGGCCCACACAGAGTGACAATGAAGCCAAATGCCAAGCAGGTGTCGTGATGTCTGGCACAAGTCAAAGAACTGAGGTCAGAGAGCTTGCTAGGGACAGCTCCACCCGAGCCTTCACAGCCCTGAGGGACTGAGAGGGGTGAGTTTTGTGGGCTGATATATCCTTGGTACCTTAGAAACAGTTCCAAGGCCTGCTGAGTTCCCAGAGTTCGCATCAAAGGTGAAACTTTAGAAACACAGGCATTTATTCATTTTGCAACTAATACAAAATTCTAGTCTCAAGGAGAAAGACAAAATGTCCTGATAGAGGGAGCAAGAAGGTAAGCACGAGGCCAGGAAATGATCTGAAAGGAGTATGCTTCATAGAAATTTAGCTTGAAAGTATTGATTTGCTAAATCAATACTAACAGCTATGTGCTACTTAATGATAGGCAGGTCTGAAAAATTCATCATTCCACAAGGTGGTCCTCAGGAAAGCACTGTACAGTGTGCTTAGACACACCTAGGATGTAGCATATGCCACCCTGTTTTCTATCCTTACACCCAGCACATCACAACAGCATCTTTCTTTTTCTTTTTTCTTCTCTTCTCTTTCTTCCTTCCTTCCTTCCTTCCTTCCTTCCTTTTTTTCTTTTGTTTTTTTTGAGACAGGGTTTCTCTGTGTATCACTGTCTGTCCTGGAACTTACTCTGTAGACCAGGCTAGCCTCGAACTCAAAGACTGGCCTGCCTCTCCCTCCAAGTGCTGGGATTAAAGGCATGCACCAACATTTTCTGGCTTACAAAAATTTATTTTCTTAAAAAATATATTTTGAAGGGGGTGTGACAATAGACTGGATTCAAGCATAAACAACCCCTGCCATGTGTATGCACACACAGGTCCTTCATGTGGGTGCTCTAAGTGTTGAAGAGCTTAGTTTCCTTAATATGCCCACCATACCCTAAACATTATAATAGCATGAAGTGCTTGGACACTTTCTCCCTTTCAAATATTATATTTAGTGTTGTTAAGTTTAGCCATTGTTTAATTAGCTCAAAACCAAGTTTGTGGAATTTAAGCCAATGGGGCTACATTATTGTAAATATGAGACCTTAATTCTAATCATAATGTTTAGAATTAATGATGATTAGCCCCCTTCAAAATGAAAGGTTGGTTAAATCTCCCACTCTATGTCAAGAATACTTTTTAAAAAGAAAACTGAATCAGATACTTACAGATGGGACCCACTTCTAGGAGATTGTCAAAAGAGCAGCAAGATGTGGTTCCCAGTGTAGCAACCACCTAGGAGGTAAAAAACAAAACAAACAAACAAACAAAAGCACCATTTTATGCCCCATGTTGCCATTGTTGTAACTCAGCCTGTCTTCCATTGCCGGTGGCTAGCACAGGTACAATGGTAATGAATATTTACACAGAGATGGAAACCCATGAATTTATGCCTCGTCTTTTGGTTAAAGTACCAAATCGGATAAAGAGAACAAACCTATGAGCGGAAGTCTGAACTGTGGAGCTGGGGAGATGGCTCATTGGATAAAAATGCTTTCTGTGAAAGCAAAAGGATCTGAGTTCAAATTCCCAGCTCCTGCATAAAATCTAGGCAGGGGCTCACATGCTGGTAACCCCAGCATTGGAGGAGCAAACACTGGTGGATGCTTGGAACTTTCTGATCAATTGGTGTAGCTCAACAGTGGGCTTCAGGTTCAGTGAGAGACCCTGCCTAAGAGAGTTATACAAGGGCTGGAGAAATGGCTTAGCAGTTAAGAGCACTTGCTGCTCTTATAGAAGACCTAGGTTTGGTTCCAGATTTGGTTCCCAGAACCCACAAAGCTGCTCACAACTGTCCATAAATCGAGTTTCAGGGGACCCCATGCCCCCTTCTGTCCTCCATGGGCACCAGCACACATACGGTGCATACACACACACACACACACACACACACACACACACACACATACACACACACACACACCATAAATATAGAGAAATCTGAGCACTGAGTGTAAGGCTAGGAAGTAGCAGCTTTCATGGATAATTACCCACATTTGACCTACAAAAGATTTTCAGGAGATTGTGCCTTGGGTAGAAAAAAGATAGTTCCCACAGAACAAAGAATTTAGACATTTTCTTCCTAGTCTGGTGGTGGTAGCGGTGGTATGTGTGTGTATATGCGTAGAGTGGTTCTTGTACAGCCACAGCTAAGGCCTAGTCAAGCCACACCAGGACACTGTTAGAGAGTATGGCTCGACGCCCTTATTCTGTGACTCTTCTTATCCAGAATGACTTCGCTCCCAAAGATTTGCTTCAACCTTCAAAAGGTCTGTGAGAAAGTTCCACTGGCACTGGCAGTGGTGCTGAGAATGCATGCAATACTGTGGGTCATGCAATGGGAAATATGACCCAGAATCACTGTAGAGTCCAGCCCCTCAGTGCCTTGCGATGCTCTTATTCGTGTGGTTCACTCCTGTGACTGTCTCTTTCTCCAGGCTCACGGTGTTCTTGAAATCAGGTCTTTATGTTGGTGGGAATTTGTACTTTGCTGGACATGAAATTGTTGCTAAAATATATCTGCCGAACTGACATTCTCCAGCTGATTGGGGGGTAAAAAATCTGTTTATGAAAGCCAAGGCCCAGACTGATTCATAGAAATGATGCCGCTGGGACAGTGAACTTTCTCCTCAGGCTTGATGGAAACATGCAATTCCATACACCCTTGTGTCAGTCGTATGTCAAATGTCAAGGGTGCATGATTGTTCAAGTCTCCCTAGAAACAGCATCACACAATACTCTTTGAACAATGTTTTCACCCTTGTGTCAAGTCTTCCCCTCCTCCTGACCCCTCCAATAATGTTACCTACACTGCAGGTGTAGTGTTAAGTTGGGCTAGTCAGAACTTCAGACATCTCTCCAGGGCCTTTCTGGCTCAGTTTCAGAGATGAGCAACTATGTTTGCCCTGAGAGCCAAACCCACCTCTCAGAGAGATCATCACTCTCTTTCCAGGGAACCTGGCGTCTATGGGTCTCCCACCTAGCTGCCTGGGCCCTGCTGCTCTTGTAGAAGCCTGGGTTGGTGGAGGTACTTGGCACTGGTTCTCATAGGTAATGCTTTTACCAGGGACTAGAGTGTTTCTGTACCCAGCTGTACGAGAAGGTGACAAAGCAGGTGCTGGCTGGGCTCTGACAGGTTCTCTGGAATTCCAACCTATGTCCACAAAGGTTCTCTGCTCCCAGGGCTGTCCTCAGGCCCAGCAGAGGCAAACATTTAAATATAGACTTTATGATTATACAGGTAGTTATCCTGCTCACAGGTCCCTAAGAAGAGGACCATGTCATGCCATGGGTACACCACTGAGGCCATATGCAGAAGCTCTAGGACCGTCAGATCTGAGTACAAGACTGCGAACGGGAGCCTTTCTCTTAGGGCTCATCGGAAGCAACAGGCCAGGCATGCAAAAAGGCTGCTTTGACACAGTTTAGGTGCTCAGACTAACTGTAATTATTTGGTACCTGGCTGGTCCAAAGGCAAGTATGAAAGACAGTGCCCTGCAGCGAGAACCTCAGAGGCATATGAATGGTGGGTTTGCTAGTCAGTCTTTGATCCAGAAGAGGTAGGCACTCTAGGGACAACATTGCCCAAAGATGTCCAAGCATCAGAAAAGCACCAGGAACAGTGGCACCAGCCTGCTATTCTAGCTTTCGGCAGTGGAGGCAGCAGGATCTCAGGTTTGAGGTCAGTTGGGACTATGCAGAAAGATCATTTTAGGGCAGGCAAGATGGCTCAGCAGGTAAATCTTGCCACCAGCCTGATGACCTGGCTGTGATTTCCGGGCACAATATATTTCCAAAACAGAAAAGCCTATCCCAAAAGAACAAAAACCAAATGTGTGTATATGTGTGTGTGAGGGGGGGGGAGGGGGGAGGGAGGGAGAGGCAGAGAGAGAGAGAGAGAGAGCAGTGTGAAGCTCAGTTGTATTATCTTGGGAGACACACTACTGGGTTGCTTGCTGAGCTCCATTTTCTCACTCACAAGGTGACACAGTGGACACAGGACTTGCCCAGTGGGAAAGTACCAGTGGGCTTTCAGGCTCCCTGTTTCCAGGCTTTCCTGGAGCCTCAAACTCTTCTGTATCTCCACCCAGTTTCTTCACTTAATGCATTCAACATTCTCCACACTTGCCTCATTTGCACAAGATGAGTCATGCAGTGGGCCTCAGGGCCTCAGTGGTTTTTCTCTGGTATCTGTAATTTCATCTTGACATTTAACTGAATATTAAAATGCTTCGCGTTAGGTACCTGGCTAGCGGGTTGCTTCACATAAGAGTCATAAAATGCTTTGTCTGTGTTATTCGGGGTAAAATTGCTCAGCTTCAGTAAAGACAGATTAACACTGCGTGATTTTCTCAATTTTGTGTCTCTCAGAAATGACATATCTGCAGTGCAGCAATTGCTTCAGCTTCATCTCATTTTCTCATCTAAACACTAATTGGCCTAAGAGCAATAATTTCTGCTGTTAAATTCATACATGTTAAACATTTGCTTGTTAAAAACAGCTTTTATCTATTGCTGCGTGCACAGAGTATACAGAGTGGTTTCTGCCAAATATGATTACTGCTTATCGCTTGAGATGAGTTTGTGGCCAAACATAAACGTTCCTTCTTAAATTTGCAGACAGTTATTGATTTCTTTATAATGAGCTTAAAACTGTGCACAAACAGTAACATTATGCCCTGTTCTGCACCGAGCCTTGACGGGGAATAGAAATGAGTGACTGGTTTTAGTGTTTTGTCGGTGCGGAGCTGATTGCTAACTGCTTCCTGTGTGACTCAACTTAGATAGACTCATGATCCCTGCTTCATACTTGATGTAAGGAAGGTGCCAGAGTAAGTAATTGTCCAAAATCACATGAGCAGGGACAGATTAAAGTGACGCCAATGGCCACACTTTTAGAGGACAGAGTTCTTGCTACAGGCCTTAGTCCTTTCTAGCTGCTGAGGAGTTGTGGGTAGGCAGTAGGACCTAAGACAGTGAAGCATCAGGGGGCTGCATGGACAGTGTTCTAATGGCCTGTCCACGTGCCACGGAGCTACAAGTCAGCTTGTCCTAATTCTCAGAAGCCATATTAAAGCTAGCACCTGCTTTGCTCCAGGCTCTGATTACCCCCGGCTCAGCATCACTCAGTGACGCTAACCTGATTTCAGTGTGCTCTGCAGAGCAGTAATCACATTTGTGCAGCAGGAGGGGGCAGGAGCCAGAGCAAGCCTCTATCTCGAGAGCCTGCGGCCTTCCTGCTAGTGACAGAGCCTGTGTGACCTCCTCGCCTGCTGTCCCTACTCCACCAGCTCCGTCTCCTCACGTACATGCCTTGCAGGCATTGCCCTTTGCTGATGTTATTAAGGTGGCTTATTGGAGAAGCAAACTATCATGGCGAAAATAGAGAGAAACTTTATTATAGGACTCAAGCTAGTCTGTGGAGGGACAGAGTCAGCTTTCTTGGTCAAACTATGCCAAATGTGCCTCTTACTCTCAGTAGTGGGCCTCCAGTTTGAGGGGTCCGCAATTCTTGACATATATTAAAGGCTACCTCCCTGCTACCCATCCCAGGAGGGTGGGCACATGTAGCAAGTACACATGCACACATACAAACACTTACAACCACTAAAGAGCATTAGGGTCCTAAGATCAGGCCTAGCTACTATCCCTTCCCCATCTGGGGCAGGAGGCTGTATCCCAGTTGAATAGCCCCAAGCTGCACTTTGAAAAAACAAACCATACACACTGTTTCAAATACCCTGTGTTTTTCATACTGATGAATGTTATCAGTCCTCATTCCCTTAACAAAAAACAAAACAAAACAAACAAACAAAAAATGCAATGCACCACAAGTCCCTGCCTGTCTAAACTCTAGGATATAGTTGCTTACATATACTGTTGCTTAGCAACAGGCATTATTGATCCTCTCCAAAGCTGATTGCATCTTCTACTCTTGTCTGTATATGTAGTTACCATGAAATGGTGCAAAGACTAGGCATATCTCTATCTTTGCCCCTAGAAACCATTCCAAGAGAAAATAAACCGTGGCTGGTCAAATATCCTCAGAGTTGGTACAAGGTACACTGCGATACAAGCATTTGTTAAATATATGAATGCATGAATGAACTGTGACACTTCTCTTTGTGCCAAAGATATCTGTGGTTTCTGTCTGAAAAACAACAACAATATACTCTAATATTTTTTGCAATTTGGGTTGTTAAAACACAATTTTGAAAAGTGGGATATTGTTTCTT